CCCAGAGTTCAGGCCCCACGACCGGACCCAAAAAAAAAGAATCTCAGTCTTTCCTGCCTGGGCTGGCTTTAAACTGCAATCCTCAGACCTCAGCCTCCTAAGTAGCTAGGATTATAGGCGCGAGCCACTGGTGCTGACCTTTTTTTTAAAATAGGTTGTAGGGCTTGAACTCACGACTTGGGTGCTGTCCTGGAGCTTTTTTGCTCAAGGCTAGTGCTCTACCACTTTGAGCCACAGCTCTACCTGTGGTTTTCTGGAGATTAATTGGAGATAAGAGTTTTATGGATTTACCTGCTCAGTCTGGTTTTGAACCAAGATCTTCAGATCTAAGCCTCCTGAGTAGGGTTACAGATGATGCCTGGCAAGTTTAATAATCTTTTTAACTTTAATGATAAGCATTTGGAGAACTGATTAACTATACTTGATTTTTGGGGGTACTGTAGGAATATAGAAAGAATTTTAAAGACCATCAAATAACCCCATCTAATAAAAAATTTAGTAATGTAACCTTACTGTATTATGATTTGAGAATCATCATTTTACTTAAAACTATTAGATGAATGATTGATAAGAAATTGGACATTCTTCTCATTTCAAGGTAGCAATACATGAATTAGTTGGTGATCATAAGGGAAAAAATATAATGAGAAGTCAAAATGATCACTCCAAACAATAGATGAAGTTTAATACATGAAAAACCAGATAGACAGACTGACTAATGGGCTGTAATCTGTAATCCTAGTTATAAGGGAGCTAGAAACAGGAGTCTCACAGTGTTCAGCCAAAAGTTAGATCCTGACTCAGTGAAAAGTTGATAATGTATATATGTGTGATGCCAGCCAGGGCCAAATGCAAGACCCTATAGAAAAACTAAAAGCGAAAAAGACTAAAAGCATGACTCAAGTGGTAGAGTATTTATCTAGTAAGCATTAGACACTGAGTTCAAACCCTAGCTCTGGGAAAAAAGTAGTCATAAAGTATTACATTTTCTGATTCACTACAACTTGTATGCTCTATAATGTAGTTTATCCAAAAAGGTTTAACATACATTCATCAAACCTTTGGATATAATACTTTGGGAACATTCAGCAGGTAGCTCCTGCTCAGTGGAAGAATTAAGCTAAATAACAGCATGATGATAACCACATAATTTCAGAAGGTGACACATTCTGCCTACAATGTGCTAGCCTAATTGTGCTAGCTTATGAGAGACTTATAAAGCAAACAGCCAGAAACAATGTGGAATTGTCCATATAGGAAAAAAATAATTATGTTCTAAAAGTACTCATTGAACAGTTAGAGAAACAGGAAGACTAACAGTTGAGAGGAAAATGCTTTTTATTAAATTGTATGTGTAAGTCTAGTTTTGATAAAATCAAAAGTTTAAAGGTACAGTATATGTATACACATATAGAGAAAAAGTAGATAAGCACTAAATTATATAACAATGTTATTTTCTCATCTTTTCATAAGCAAATTTTATGCTATTTAAATTATTTAGCATAATTGATAAATTAATGCCAGTTTTAAGGTTTCTTAATAATATGTTCAACATTTAAATTTTAACATACTATAAAATTACAATGCTTTATTCCTTTCTTAGATAGAGAACTTCGATTTTTTGTTTCTATTGAAGACAGTTGAGGAATTCTATAAAGGTGAAGATGGGGAAAGTCTGGAAATCCTTTGTCCAGTTCAAGATCAAGCCTGTGTAGCTAAATTTGAAGATGGAGTTTGGTACCGAGCAAAAGTTACTGGTAGGAAAGTGCATGCTATTTTCACAGGAAATATTATGCTTTTTTAGTTGATTAAAAGCTTTGCACGTAGTATTATTTGATCTTACCATTTATTGTACCTTTCTTTAGAAAGGTAGTAGTAATTTTGGGAAGTCAATCTTAGACTTCTAACATTAATCATTGGGAATCTGGCTAGAAAACTATATACATACATTTAAAAAAAAACTAGTAATAGTATAGAGAAGTAAAGTGACCACTAGCTTCATAATACCTGCTTGTAAAGGTACAAATTGACATTACACTCTTTGTGTCCTCTTGTCTCCTTTTTGATTTACTGTTCCTCTTTCCTAGAAATTATTTGCTAATTGGTCCAATATCTTTCTCTACAATTCTCATATCCTCAAGTGAATGAATGGAATTTAACTCACAAAATAATAAAAAAATTAATAGGATTAGAACCAGATGATTCATGAAAATGAAGGTACTAGCTAAAAGAGACTTGGCTAAGAGAACAATACCCTATCACTCTTCATAGTTTCAAAAGGTGGATATACTATAGGCAACTTAGTCCATGTATTATGTTTTACTAATGGTTTTTCATCAATAAAATTCAAGTTGAGACTTGGTCTTCAATGCAGCAGTACTGACAGGAGTAGCCTAGTGAGAGATGTTTGGGTGATGAGAGTGGAACTTGCATGAATACATTAATGCCTTTCGTGCAAGAGTGGTCCTAGCTCATGAAGGACTGGATTGATTAGTTATCAAGAGAGTGGATTGTTACAAGTCAGGGATTTTCCTCATTTTGCTTTTTTACATATACCCAGTTTCCCTTAGACTTTTCTTAAAACCAAACAGATACTGGTGCCACAGGCTCTAGAATCTTGAGCCAGAATAAACCTTTCCTTTTTAACCTACCCAGTATCAGGTATTTTGTCATAGCATTTTGTCACATATTTTTTATACGCTTTCTAGCTTGAATATATGTATCATCTTATTGAAAGGATGAAGTTAGTTTATCTTGACATTTTAAAATGTTTTCCCATTATTAAAGTAATCTAAAATCCCTACGATTAACTTCTAATATATAAAAAGTCCATATCTTATACCCAGACTATTTAGTCTTCCAACCTAAGTTTTCTCTCTTTTGTCATTGCTAATTTAAATTTAACTAGAAGTTAGTCTTTAAATACTTTTAAAATATAGTTCTTATGAACATCTTGGTCTGTTTGTGATGTTAAAACACAATACCAAAGACTGAAATTTTTAAACAATAAAATATTTCTGACAGTTTTGAACATTTGGAAATCCTAAATCAAAGCCTTGGCTGGTAAGCCTCATGTCTCTGACCTAAGATATATCCTTTTTGCTCTGTCTGCCAAGTCAAGAAATACTGTGTTCTTTTTTGTGTATGGATGGGTTGTGGGGCTTGAACTCTGGGCTTAGGCGCTGTCCCTCAGCAATTCAGCTCAAGGCAAGTGCTCTACCACTTGAGCCCCAGCACCATTTCACGTGAGGATCTCAGACTTTCCTGCCCAGGCTGGCTCTGAACCATGACCTTCAGATCTCAGCCTCCTGAGTAGCTAAGATTACAAGTGTGAGTCACTGGGGCATAGCAATACTATGTTCTTAAATAGCAGAAGGCTAAAAGGTTTAAGAAAAGGGTCAAACTTCTCTCCCTCAGGATACAGTCGCCGCTGCAGGCCAAATGTCGTAACAGTGCCACATTGGGAACTAAGTTTCAATAAGAATTTTGGAGAGTAGCCGGGCGCTGGTGGCTCATGCCTGTAATCCTAGCTACTCAGGAGGCTGAGATCTAAGGATCACGGTTCAAAGCCAGCCCGGGCAGGAGAGACCGTGAGACTCCTATCTCCAATAAACTACCAGAAAACCGGAAGTGGTGCTGTAGCTCAAGTGGTAGAGTGCTGCCTTGAGCTGAAGAGCTGAGGGACAGTGCCCAGGCCCAGAGTTCAAGCCCCATGACCGACAAAAAAAAAAAAAGAAAAAGTATTTTGGAGAGGATAGAAATATTAGCACAATAAGAATTTTGGAGAGGATAGAAATATTAACACTCAACATACTAGTGTGTAGGTATATGTGCATATGTATGTGTATATACATATGTATGTAGATGTATACACACTCAAGCTGGGTTTGAACCACCATCTTCAGGTCTCAGTCTCCTAAGTAGCTAGGATTAAGGCATGAGCCACCAGCTCACTCTGTACAGTTTGATAAACATGGGACAAATCAGAACATTGTTTTCATGGCACTGCAAGTCTTGGCATCTACTTGTAAATGGGAATTGTTGCCTTCAGGGCAGTTTTTTGAGAACAAAATGACATCTAAAATATTTGAAAAGTAACATTCAGCAAGATGTAGCTTACATGGTGACTTTGAGGGTGGAAATGGAACTGCATTTGTGACTCAGTTCATTTTCCTGCACTTTCTATAGCTCTGCTGAACTCAATCTTTGAGATCATATTTGGTAACTTATTTTCTAATGTCTGCTTAATTTAAAAAGCTGAATTGTGCTAAAAGATGTTATTAAGAACATGCCACTCCTACCCTCAAATCCAGTTACTTTCCATTTTTATAGCTGTTTAGATTGTTTATTTTGCTTCGGTGTTTACTTGTGTTAATTCCTTTTAATAATATGAATTACTTCTGTCCCTACTCCAGATCTGCATAATTATTATTTACTTGGTATTCTGTAAGTCTTAGCTCTCTCTATAACCATTTCTTCCTCCCTCTCTCTGCCAGTCTTGTATCACAGATTCACTTAAATCCATATTCTATGTAAATATTTTCATTGCTATCTCTTAAAATATACTTTGTTTAATTCTGACTTAATAGTTATGCCTATTTTCACTTATTTTCCTTTACTTTGTAGTTATATTTTCCTGATACTTAAAAACAACTTTCCACATGATCAGATTTTTTAGGTGTTTGTTTGTACCATGAAACAGTCTTCTAGAATGATTAGCCCTTAGTTTTACTACAAATCTGTTATTCTGGAAACTTCTTTCACATGACAATGTACATTGTTCTATATTGGACCTCTTGTTTTCTAGACACCAGTTTCACAACTTGTATACTCCTTTCTTTGGGTTATCCCCTCCCAGTTGTTTCCTCAGAAAAGAAATAAGTAAAAGGCAAATTTGAGACTTCCCATGGCTACTGGTTCGGTTGATAATTTGGGTGATTATAACAACAATAATAATAGATTAATAATAGTGTTTGTTAAATTCTATCACATACCCATTGTTTTGCTTGCTTAAAATTACATCTCCAAGTATCTTGAACCAAGGGTAAAAATCTAACGGCACTGGAAGAACTAAAATATTCATTTTACCTGGAGATTAAAATGGGGAAGCAACCACATGGTAGCCTTGCCCCTGTAATAACATGTCTCTGTAGTTACATCACAGGTGTTCACTGTTATGGGTCTGAGTTGTGTGAAGTGTCCTCTGAAGTATCAGTGCTGTGCCGTCACCTTCTACATGCCAATAGGAATGCTCATCTTCATTCTCATATTGGAATGCTACCTTATTTTTCATTTACCATAATAGTCTTTAAATTTGAAATGATATCAACAAGTTCCATAACACACTGTACATAGATGTGTTGTGAGAGAATAAAGTCAACCATATATTTTGAGTGATTCCAAAAAGGTCAGTGTTTAAAGCACAGAAAGCAGTCTGGTAGAAGTCTGTACAGTTGTGGTTTCTAATTATACAATTTTTAAAGGACTGCCTGGACATCGGGAAGTTGAAGTTAAATATGTAGACTTTGGAAATACTGCAAAAATAACCGTTAGAGAGATGCGTAAAATAAAGGATGAGTTTCTGAATACTCCAGAGAAGGTAATCTACTTGTTCTGAGTTCTACAAATATGAAAATACTTTTAGAAGTCCTTTGCTTTTTCCTCCTTTGGAAGCATTTTTGTTAACCATCATTCTTGTCTCTAAATAGTTTCTGATAGAAGGGCTATAGGTAAGTATCACTTGAGTTACTATGTAAGAAGTATTATGTGGAGGCTGTGGGGATTGCAGCTCAGTGGTAGAGCACTTGCCTAAACATGTATGATTCTAAGCTCTGCAATTATAAGTATATGGGGCAAGTAAATATTCATTATAAATATCTTATGTTTATTTCTAAGTAGTTCCTGGTCTGCAACTTTTAATATATCATTTTGCAGTATATAATGTGGAGGGTTTCACTTTCATGGCACACTCATTGAGAAAAAGTTCATTTCAAAAGTATTGTGATTTTAAATATATATATATGTATATTCACCTGCAATAGAAAGAGCAATGTGGAAGAATGTGTAAAAACACTTGAACTGCTGATCTCTGTGAAACGGAATGTCCAAAGTAGAATAAGGAGGCTTATTTGTAATTTATATTTTTCTATACTATTTAAATTTTTATAAGAAAGATCAGATAAAAAATAGTCCATTAAACCTGCTTTTCTCACTTCTAACTCTTTAAATGAAAATTTCTAGTATATGAATGTGCAGTACTTGATCAAATATTTAATTCCAATCATTTATAAAGTACTTTCTTATAAAAAGCCATCACACATTTATTTCTAAATGCAACCACAAAGATTAATTTGTGTTTTGGCAGCTTTTTTTCAGGGCCAAGGATGCTTGGCAAGTGCTCTGCCTCTGAGCTCTATGAAGATAACTTTTCTACACTTACCTAGTACTTTAAAATTACTAAAAAGCCCGAAACTAAGTTCACTTAATGGTGGGATTTTGTTTGACACAGGCAATTAAATGTAAGCTGGCATACATTGAGCCATGTAAAAGAACAGCACAGTGGTCCAAAAAAGCTAAAGAAAAATTTGAAGAAAAGACTCAAGATAAATTTATGACATGCTCAGTTATTAGTAAGTTATTTCCATTTTACTATATAATTACACATAGTTTTGTAATAAGGTTGACACTATAGTTTTTGTCTTATCTTAAGAATAAATTTAATGTGGTACAAGTAGTAATAAGAGGTAACATTTGAGATAGGAGCAATGGGATTGTATCTTTAGCTTTAGATTCAAAGTAGATAGGTATGGTAGTGTCAGCTCTTGAGAGGCTGGGAATAAGAGAATCATTTGAGCCCAGTAATTTGAGGCCAGCCTGCATAACATAGGAGAATCATTTAAAAAAACAAAGATCAAGTCCCCTTTGACAATGCCTCTTGAGCTCAAAAGCCATATATATTAGCTTCATTTATTTGTGTGCATTTTTGCTGAAGCTCTATCTCTGCCCTTGTCATATTGATGCTAATGTTTAATTTCCAGGCAAGTGAGGGGAAGTGGTACATGACTGGTGAATAGGTTTTGTTTCTTGGTGGGTATTTTTGTGCTTTGGGTTTTTGTTTATAGGTTATCTGCATATTTTTTTCAACAGAACAGTTTGGATCCAAAATTCTGTCTGCCCACTAGCCCACAATTTTCTAAAAACAATAGGTTCTCAGAATCTTTAAAGCAAGGACATTTGAATTTAATCCAGAAAACAGTTAAAATGGCAAAGGTTCAAAATACAGATGGTATATTTGTTCCCTATTGGAACAAAAGACTTCATATAGGAGGAGTATGAAACCAAAGAACTAAAAGAGTTATAAAAGTAGGATGATATAGGTTTAATATGACAGCATTACTTAGTTGTTCCTGGTAATTTTCTGAGCCATGGAAAAAAAGTAGCTGACATGTACTCTTACAAATGGGTAATGTAGAATATTACTGTTGATATTTTTAATTTGGAATCATTCTGAACAGCTATCAGCCACTCATTTAAAAGTATGGGCATATAGTTATCTCAGTGCATACTTTCGACAAGTATTTCCTAAACAAATTCTGGCTGTCATTTATTGAGCAAGTCCTCTGGGCTGTGTACTATATAAATAATTAGATACATGAAATATAAATCTTGGCCTCAGTTAATTACTAGTCTATGATATACATCTAACAAGCCAATTTAGTTTCTGGAGGAAAAGTTACATGGTTACTCCTATAAAGCAAAAAGACAGAAATATCCTGTTAAGAGTTCTAGATTGAGTTGGTTCTGTTCTAGATTTTGTATGCTTATTTAAAAAAAATACTAAGACAAACTGGGTGCTGGTAGCTCACACCTATAATCCTTGCTACTCAAGACTGAGATTTCAGGATTGTGGTTCAAAGCCAGCCTAGGCAGGAAAGTCCACGAGACCTCTCTCTCTAATTACCAAAAAAAGCCAGAAGTGGAGCTGTGGCTCAAGTGGTAGAATACTAGCCTTGAGCAAGAAAGTTCAGGGACAGTACCCAGGCTCTGGGTTGAAAGGCCCAGGACCAACACACAGAATCCTAAGACATTTTTATACTTGGAAAAGCTATAAACCCTCACAAATAATTACTAGCCTGAATATTCACTTTGCCCTTTTAAGAGTTGATTGAATTTAGAGCAATCTAAAACTACAAAAAATATTTCTGATGAATGTTTGTTTTTCTGAGTTTAAAAGCTTTATACTGTTTTAGCTCAAGACCTAGCAAATAGCACACAATAACCTAAAACCATTTTTATGCCATAATACAGATAATACTACTTGAGAGTAAAAATGCTGTTTTAACTAGAGAAACTAACATTTTAGCAAGAAACTTCCTTGCATACTAAAGATAGAAATTTTTCCAATTTTTTCATTTTCTTATGATACCTAGTTTGATGTTGGGACCTCAGGCTTGCTAAGAAGACACTTTACCACTTGAGCCCTGTTTCCAAATATTTTTTATAGAAAATTGCCTCATTTAGTGTGTTTTTCAGTACATTACTGCATTCATTTTTTCCCTAAAATGAATCTTATGCTTTTACAGAAATTCTAGAAGATAATGTGCTGTTAGTTGAGCTTTTTAATTCTTGCTGTGCTCCTGGGATGATTCCTACTAGTATTAATGACCAACTTGTCAAAGAAGGGCTAGCATCTTACGAAGCAGGGTAAGTACACAGGTAAACTTACATTCTTTAGTAATATTTCAGTCACAGAAGAGAAACTGGAATTTCCTGTTTCTACATCAAAAGGAAAAAAAAGTAGAGAAGAATAATGGAGTCATTGGTCTGATGAGTAGAATAGCTTTTCCTTTCATCTCTAAGGCCCTTTAAGAAAAAGGTTTCTCAAGATCAAGAGAGACCAGCATCTTATTTCCGGGTCAAATGTCTGCTTTGGCAGCCCCATGTACTTGTCTGAGAGAGATAGAGAAATATCGAGGTATAGAATAAATGTAGTGCTAGAGTAGTCCACATTCCGATTTGGAGAAATGTAAACATTCCTGTTTCCAAGGGAAAGTTAAGTACAGCCAGGCTTAAGCCATTGTGCTCATTCCCACCAAAGACTGGTAGAGGTAGTCCCAGTGGTAGAGGTAATCCCAGAAGCAGAAGGGCAGAATGGCAGCAAGGAAGAATGAGAGAGTTTGTAGAACAAGACCAAGAATCCTTCCACAATACATTTTTGCAATGTTGGATGTTCCTTCCCTAAACGGTTCTACAGAAATCTCATGCATAACCTCAGGAAAGCCAGTATTTGGATAGTACCCAGATGTAATGCACATCAGCATAAGCCAGAGAGATAATGACAACCAGAACAGGCCTGCAGTGCCTCTCCTCCTAGTATTTATTGTCTGTGTCCATTCCCCCATCTACCCTCATACCAGAGGAGCAGGAAGAGAGTAAGGGCCTCTTCCGTTCCCCCATCTCAAATGAAGGAGGAAAGAAGAGCAAACATTTAAACTATATTGTACTTTATTTTTTCTTATTAAACTCAGGATTACCAAGTTATATATACTGTTAAACAATAAAGTTTTCTTTAAGATGCATAGTTAAATGTATTTGGACAGGCATATTGGGTCATGTATCTATCATCTCAGCCAAGAGTTTTTTAAATGACTAAATTTAGTAATTGTTATAAACATTACAATGAGAAGCAGTAAATTATAGCTGAAACTTGTTCATCTTTAAACCTAAGCAAATAACAGCATAAATATTTTGCCAGTTATGTTTCCTGCTAACCTTTGCTATTTTTTTCAGTTATACCCTCAAAGATAACTCTAAAAAGCATACTGAAGTATGGGATCCTTCTCCAGAAGAAATTATTTCAAATGAAGTAAACAACTTAAATCCTGTGCCTGTAAAATCTCTACCTAATGAAAATTTCCAGTCATTCTATAATAAGGAACTGCCCGTGCATATCTGTAATGTAGTATCTCCTGAGAAGATTTATGTTCAATGGCTACTCACAGAAAACTTACTTAATAGGTATAATATATAATGAAACCATATTGCCTACAGTTTTACTCTTCCTGTGTTTTGTTGCACAGAAATAAGTGTATAATTTTAAAATTAATAAGTTTATTTCAACTAGAGGAGTCTTTAAACTGTTAAAGTATAAAGTAGATCTGTTCATTATTTTTAATGTTAGAATTAGTTCTACCCCATGGTAGTTGTATTTGCATGTTGGAGATAACAGTGGTAATGATATGGATAATCCTTTGATGTCATGGAGATTAATTCTAGTACAGAGATGAACAAATAGTGTGGCAGCTGGTGGTAATGTGCATTTGGGTAAGAAGGCAGCTTTACAACAAAGCACATCTCATAGAGACAGTGGCGTTTGAAAAGGGCCATGATGGGCCCTGTGAGCATCTCAGGGAAGTTTATCTTGGACAGAGGGAAGACCTAGTTAGTTCAAAGGCTTGAGGTGGGAGTATAAACATGGTGCTCAGTTTGGCTGGAATAGAATGATCAAGGGGAAAAGTCAAATATGTGGACAGGGACAGAATGGGAATACTGGGGAAAGTGAAGGAAGAGGTGACATTGTCCAAAACAGAAATGTACTCATTACATGATTTATGAAATAGCCCCTCTGAACAACACCTACTAATAACAAAATTATATTTAAAATTTTATATTACAAAATTTAATCTTTTTATTATAGTTTAGAAGAAAAGATGACAGCTACTTACAAAAACTCAGAATGGGAACCTACTAAATGGGAAAGTGATATGCATTGTGCTGTTAAGGTCCCAGATAAAAATCAGTGGCGAAGAGGCCAGATCATCAGAATGGTGACAGACACACTGGTGGAGGTAAAGGCAGACTTTAAAACATGGAAGTGAATTTATTTTCTTTTTTTCTCAGATTATTCAGTTTTTATTATGCTTTTTAATTCACCAAAAATCATTAACTGTTGTCTTTCCATACTTAAAATATTGTTTTTGTAGGTCTTGCTGTATGATGTGGGGGTTGAACTAGTAGTGAATATTAACTGTTTAAGAGAACTTAAAGAAGATCTCAAGACAATGGGAAGATTATCTTTGGAGTGCTCTCTTGTTGATATAAGGTAGTTTTATGCTAAGTAAATTAGTATTTTCCTTATTGAATGTTAATCATTTAAAATATTGTAATAGTTTTCTGTTTTAATTTTGCTAACATGAAACTTCCATAAAATCTGGTTAATTCAGAGGTTTAAGAGGAAGGAAAGAGGCCTGGCACACACCCATAATCCTAACTACTCAGGAGGTGAAAGTAAGAGGGTTGCAACCCAAAACAAGAGGTAAAAGCATAAGACCTGATCTGAAAAAACAAACTAAAAGTAAAAGGAAGTGGTAGAGCACCCACCTAGCAAACAGGCCTCCTAAAAAAAGAGGGAAGGAAAAATATTTGGGGCCCATAAATGTAGTGGTATTAAGGAAATAGAAGTAGACTTAAGATGAAAGGTACCTAGATAGAATTCAAACTGTGGAGAAGAGTTTAGAACAGCAACAAAGGCAACAAATAAAATTTATTTCCTAAATATTAAATTGTATGGAAAGCTAAATATATAAATTTTAGAGTGAGTTATGGAAGATAAAGGGATATTAACATGTCATGTTTTTAAGCCTGCTGGAATCTCACTATAAAAATAGTGGTTTAGCATTATTTACCATAGCTAAGATATGGAACCAACCCACATGCTCCTCAGTAGATGAACAGATCAAGAAAATGTGGTATATGTGTGTGTGTGTGTGTGTGTGTGTGTGTGTGTGTGTGTGTACACAATGGAATTCTATGCCTCCATCAGAAAGAATGACATCACCCCCATTTGTTAGGAAATGGAAAGACTTGGAAAAAATTATATTAAGTGAAGTAAGCCAGGCCCAAAGAAACATAAGTCCGATGGTTTTCCTTATTTGAAATAACTAGTATAAGTCTAGGACAAGCAGAAAGGTCCAAAACTAAGTACATATGATCATATAAGGTGATAAGTGAAATGAACCCCAAGATAGGGACACACTGTTTTTTTCTTGCTTGCTATTGTTTTTAACGTATTTAAAATGTACTATGTGGTTTTTTTTGTTTCTTTTTATGTTCTCCCATGGTATAACACCTGTTTTCACTGTATTTGATGTCAGTGCACTGCATCTTGTATATACATTTCTCTAATTTGGGGAGCGGAAGGGAAATAACAAAATGCTTAAATAAGGATACAGGGATACAGGTTGACCCATTGTAACAATAAGATGTACAAGACACTATGTTGAAAACGAACTTTACAACGTAGGGGGAGGGAGGAGTTGGGGAGGTGGGGCAGGAAGGGATGGTAGGGGGAAAACAAAGGAGGAGGTAACAATGCTCCATAGGAAATGTACTCATTACCTTACTCGTGTAATTGTAACCCCTCCATACAGTATTTCTATAATAAAAAATTATTAAAAATAGTGCAGTTCAGCCAGGTGCCGATAGCTCACACCTGTAATACTAGCTACTCAAGAGATCTAGGAATCTCAGTTTGAAGCCAGCCTTGGCAGGAAAGTCTGTGAAACTCATCTCCAATTAGCCATCAAAAAAAGAAAAAAGCCAGAAGTGGAGTTGTGGCTCAAGTGGTAGAATGCGACCAGCCTTAAGCAAAAGAGCTCAGGGACAGTACCCAGGCCCTGAGTTCAAGCCGCACAATAGACATATATACAAAAGTGCAGTTTATATAGTAAAACTGTAAAACCAAAGACCACACAGTCATTATCTACAACAAAACTTGGTGACAAGTCTAAACAAGAAAGAATGACAGGAAAGTAAAACAGGCTAGAGGGTAGAAGCTAGCAGGTAAGAGAAAGGGCTGACAGGTGGTGAATAAGGATGAATATGGTCTACAAGATTTATTTGCATGCCTGAAAATAGAACAGTGAAACCTGTTGAAATTGTTTTAAGAAAGGGGAGTGTGATAAAGGATTGTGATCGAGGGAGAAAGGTTAATGGAATGCATTGTATACAGTAATTCCCTGCCCGCCCCCCCCCCAGTAAAACTAATATACGGGAGTAAAGAAGAAAGCCTGGCAACAGGTGACCCCTGTGAGTGCCCAAATATCACCATGTGGGGTATATTGTAAACCTGGAAGGAAGGCTGACTAGGATTGTGACACTCCGAACAGTAGCATTTCTGAGCATGCTGGCTCATGTGAGAGGGGAGTGATACTGGATGCAATTCATAGCTGAATGAGAGAAGTATGTAATGGTCATAGTTCCATGATACTGAAGGCTTCTGAGCTGTATGACTTCTTAGAGGAAATGAGGCTCCCTTTCTATGACCCCCACACTGAAAGAAAACTACCAATTCTATTTGAGAAAGATAGTAGATCCAAATTGAAGTAGGAGAGAGAAGCAGAGGAACAAGATCTCAGAATATGAGGCCATATCTTCTATCACTTAGGGAAAAGCAAAGCAACAGAAAATTTTACAGTCAGTAAGCTAGAAAAGCAACTCCTAAACATGAAGGAAAGTATTTCGTGTAAAACATGAGTAGGAGAATAAACTTTAGTCAAATATTTTTCAAATTATGTTTTTAAAAAGCTAAATACATACTCAAAGGCAGTGAAAAAAATCTACCAAAAAAGGCATGTACAAACTATAATCTGATATTTCAAAATAAACTAGAAGAAAATGAAACTATGCTAGATGTTTTGAAAGCACATTAGAATTAGAGAACTCAGAAATATGATTACTAGAGAAAAGGGATGATTTGAAAAGTGGCGACAGAACTCAGGAAAGAATTGCAAGTGAAATAGCAATAGTAGACTTAAGTCTGTAATCCTAGCTATTTGGGAGGCTGAGATCTGAGGATCCTGGCTCAACAGCCTGGTAGGCAGCAAAGTCCATGAGTCTTATTTCTAACCACCAAAAAGCTGCAAATGGAGCTGTGGCTCAAGTGGTAGAATGCTATCTTTGAGCAAAAAAAGCACCTCAGACACACAAAAAAAAGTACAGTAAAGTAGAAAAAATACAAAGCAAATAATGCAATTGATAAAGCTTTAGAAAAATACAAGATATGATCACTTTTTAAAATGATAAGAACAAAAAAGTCCAAAAGAGGGGCTGAGAAGGTAGCTCAGTGGTAGAGCGCTTGCCTTGCATGCATGAGGCCCTGGGTTCGATTCCTCAGTACCATATAAGCAAAAAGAAAAAAGCCGGAAGTGGCGCTGTGTCTCAAGTGGTAGACTAGCCTTGAGCTGAAGAGCTGAGGGACAGCGCCCAGGCCCAGAGTTCAGGCCCCACGACCGGACCCAAAAAAGAAAAAAAAAAAAAAGAAACAGTTATGCTTAAAAGAATTGATCATCTCTCCAGACATTCAAAACAGTTATTAACTTGTTAAGTAAATATTCCTTCACAAAGAATGAGAGGTAATTTTACACTAATTCTCACAGTCCCCATATTATCATGGAAGTCACTAACTCTGAGAAATACCTTGCCCAGAATTATCTATAAATCTAAATTGGTTTCACTTATCTGTTCTGAAGCCTCATTTTTTAAATTGAGACTGGGATAGGATGCCTGCTCCAGGGACTCCTTCCCGTTGTTTCCTCTTCTTGAAGCTTCATGTTCTGAAGTTTCTCAGTGGTGGTTTTCCAGCCTGTTTATAGACAGTGTCTCCAGGCTCGTGGGCACTTCTCCCCTTTGCTGTGATCACTGATAGTGACTGTAGCACATAAATTCTTTCAGTGCTCTGGATTTGAACCAGGCCCATGTACATTAGAAAATATCCAGTTTTTTACCTTAAATAGCTTAATCAGGAGAATTATAGCAACACGGTAATTGTACCTAATTTTGTAAAGAGCAAATACCTGTATCCTATGAAATAGGATAGACAAAACCATAATGATTTTAAGAGTGTAATAGCCAATCCAGCTGCCAATGGCTCACACCTGTAATCCTAGCTACTCAGGAAGCTGAGATCTGAGGATCACAGTTCAAAGCCAGCCCGGGCAGGAACTTCCCTGAGACACTTATATCCAACTAAACACCAGAAAAACAGAAGTGGCGCTATAGCTCAAGTGGTAGAGCACTTGCCTTGAATCGAAGAGCTGAGGGACAGCACCAAGAGTTCAACCCCACAACTGACCAAAAAAAGAAAAGTCTAATAAGCCTTGTACCTCTGGACCCTGGACTCATTATATTACAGATACCATCTCACTTAATCCTCACAACACACCTTTAAGCTAAGAATAAGATATGATCTAGGAAACAATCTTTAAAAGAGATTTTTTTTATCCAAGGTAAAATAATTTCATTGCCTAGTATTTTAAACTTATCTGAATCCAAAACTAGAACTTTATACTAATCCACTATTTTTATTGAAATAAAATAATCATCATATAAAATTGACTCTTGCTATCTTAACTGTATTTTGTAATCTTAAAACATTTTTATTGCTGTGCAATACTCACCAGAACATTTTCATGTTCCCTACTAAAATTCTACATTCATAATGCTGGAGCTTGAACTCAGCCTCTTACTTGTTAGGCAAATGTTCTACCACCTGGGCAACAGTCCAGCCTCTTTTTGCATTGGTTATTTGGATTTTGCTTAATATCTGGGCCAACCCAAGCTGCAGTCCTTTTTGTGGCTCCCCCCTTTTTGGGGGGATGATGGGTATCACCACTGAGCCTAGCCATTGAGTTTCCCTATTGCTGGTAGTACAGGACATACTACTCCACCCAGTTACTGGTTATATGGGGTCTCAAGAACTTCTGTTTGTCTGGGTGAGCCTCAAGCCATGACCCCCCAATCTCTTATCTCTCAAATAGCTGAGTTTATAGGCTTGAGCCACTGCATCTGGCACAATATTTTTTAATGTGGCAAATACCTTTAGATGTCCAAAAGTTAGTATTTATGTGTATCCATAATAATAGAAAAACCTTACTATTAGACTGATTTTTATTTGTAAAGTTCCAAATAGAGTTGCCCTCCATATCTGCAAGTTTCATATACTGGATTCAACCAACTTCAGACTGATTTTAATCTGTACTTAATATCAACAGACTTCTTGCCTTGTCATAACTCCTAAACAGTGTAGTACAGCAACTATTTATATAGTGTTTTTATTTTGATATTATATGTCATCTAGAGATAACTTAAAATAGAAGGAAGGATATGCATGAAGGTGGGTTCTCTGTTTATATAAGGGACTTAAGCATCTGTGGATATTGGCAGCCAAGAGATGGCATGGAATTCCCCTAAATTCCAAGGGGTAGTCATAAATAGTAAGCCATAACTGACTTAGAGGAATTTATCAATAATTTAAGATTCTTAAATTAAGCTTATCGTAAGAACACTCACACAGTTACTCAGTTTCACCTCTGCATACTAAAATAGATGATGAAGCTGAGTACTTTTGATTAATTTGCCCAAGATTACTTGAACTGCCTGTGGTGTGTGTGTCTCTGTGTATGTACGTACCAGTCTTGTGGTTTGAACTCAGAGCCTGGGAACTATCCCTGAGCTGCCTTTGCTCAAAGATGGCACTCTACAACTTGAGCCAGAGTTCCATTCAAGACCAGAACTTGAACTCAGTACATTTTTGCTCATTGGCTGACACTAGCAACTGAGTCATGACTCCAGCCGTTGGCTGTTTCTTTTTAGTAGTTTATTATTAGAGATAAGAGTCTCACAGATTTTTCTGCCCAGGCTGGCTTTGAACTGCATTCCTCAAATTTCAGTGTTCTGAATAGCTAGCAAGCCTGAACCACTGGTGCCCAGATTTGCCAAATTTTTAATGAACATCTTTACTATGCATTATTATTTACCATTCAATCTTTGACCAAAGAAATTAGACTCTCTAGTCTGCTAAGTTTTGTAATCATTCAGAATTATATGGCTAAATTAAAAGTTTTGAATAATTTTTTGAATCTGTAGTTAAATCACAATTTAAAATAATCATTGAAAGTTTTGATCTGGGTGCTAGTGCCTCATACCTGTAATCCTAGCTACTCAGGAGGCTGACATCTGAGGACAGAGGTTCAAAGCCAGCCTGAGTAGGAAAGTCTGTGAGACTCTCATCTCCAATTAACCGTCAGAAAACCTGAGGTGGCACTGTGGCTTAAAATGGCAGAGTCCTTGAGCACTTTTGCTCAAAGACAGCACTCAGGCCCTGAGTTCAAGCCCCACAACCAACAAAAAAAGTTTTGTAAACTATGGAGGTTTATATTTATGGATAGTGACTCAGATTAGATTTGAATTACATAAACTTCCAAAAATGTGTAGTAGGCTTGATTTTTTTCCATTAAGTATTTCTGTAATGGCTTTCATGTACCCGGCATGGTGCTAGACATTAGAGAAAAATGAAGATAGGAGAGCATATCGACTGTGCTCCCAGGGTTTATTATCTGTTCACATATAGGAAATGGATCAGGACTTACTGCACCTATGTTTTAGGAGTTGTCATGTAGCTGCAGAAAAGATACACATAAATAAGCATTGTGATTGGGCTTTAAGTAAACAGGGATACACCAAAGGCCATGCAGAAACATGAATCCAGGTTCACATTTATTTCTTACTACGTGTATATATATATATATATATGTGTGGTTCAGACTGCATATGCATGTGTTTATGTATAATACCTGTATCTTCCAATATCCTAGGCTATAGTTAGAGCATCTGTAGTTATTTTTTATTTTAGACCAACTGGTGGGAGTGACAAGTGGACAGCTACTGCTTGTGATTGTCTTTCTTTGTACCTCACTGGAGCCATAGCGACTATAATCTTACAGGTGGGCAGTAGGGTAAGCAATTACTGCAGATATGTATTGATTGTATCACTGGTGTTTTTCCATTATGTCAGTTTCTTTTCATTGTTTTGGTGGGATAGGGTCTTACTGTATAAACCAGGCTTGCCTTAAACATGTGATCTTTCTTACTCAGCCTCCAGTTTTACTTGAGAAAGCTATCTGGATTTTATTGCAAGCTTTGTTGGTCTATGTCATCTATTCATAATAGATGTTCAGACAAATGATTATATGAATGAGTCAAAATATGTCTTGGCCAGGCAAGTAACTTATGCCCATAACCCCAGCTACTCATAAGTTGGAGACTAAGACTAAGAGAGACTAAGAGTTGCCAGCCCAGGCAAAATGATGGCAACCAATAAGCCAAGCATGATGGTTCACCCCTGGAATCACAGTTATTAAGAGATAGTAGGTAGGATGCTTATAGTCTGAGACAAAAATGTGAGACCCCAGCTGAAGAAATAAAGCTAAAAAGAGCTTGGGGAGTGCCTCCCTTGTAAGGATGAGACCAACTTCAAACCTCAGTACAAAACAAGCATTTTCTAAAATAATCCACTGACTTGTGCCTAGTATCCTAGCTACTTAGGAGTCTGAGATCTGAGGATCACAATTCAAAGCCAGCCAGGCAGGAAAGTCTGTAAGATTCTTCAATTAACCACCAAAAAGCTGGTGGTAAAGCACTGGCCTTGAGTACAAAGCTCAGGAACAGTGTCCAGGCCCTAAGCTTAAGTCTCACAATTAGCACAAAAATAAAATATGCTTGATTTGAAATTTTTGCATATTAAAAATACATATTTGTTAGACTGTACTTCTGAATCCTTTTGATAGCTTTTTACCAAAATGAAAAACTAGGACCTAATGAAGTAAAAAGTAATTATAAAGCTGGGTGTACATGGCTCACCCCTGTAATCCTAGCTACTCAGAAGGTTGAGATCTGAAGTTCACAGTTTGAGGCCAGCCACTACAGGAAAATCCATGAGACTCTCACCTCCACCTAACAACCAAAAAGCTGAAAGTGGGGCTATAGCTCAAATGGTAGAGCACTGGCCTTGAACAAATAGAGCTGAGATGGCATCCTGTTCAAGCTCCAGGACTTGACACACAAGGAAAGTAACTATAGGTGACAAAATGAGTATGTATGTATGATATGTCAGTATGGATTTGAGAAGAGGCATCTATTACTTTAGAATACTTAAAAATCTTTTCACTTTTTCCTCATTTGAAAACGTTACTGAATAGATTAGAATTTTCTTACACAATTTTCCATGTTACTATGTTTCTGTTGTGCTTTCTCCATTTTTATAATTTTTCCATATGACACAAGATAGATTTTTCATATTTACTCTAATTTTTCATAAGGAAAAAGTCACACTGTGGAAAGTATAATGTGGTTCTATCATTTATAAGGAGTTTAGGAGATTAGAGAATTGTTCCTTAGTAGTGTATCTACCTCATTTGAGTTGGAAAAAATTGTTTTAGTACCATTGGGGGGGTACATTTCACCTGATAATAAAGACTTTGTCATCCATTTCACAAAAAAAGACCTGAAAATAAATGGAAAATTAAAAAAAAAAGTTTCCTATTGACGCCATATGTTTTCCATCTGGTGTATTTAAATGTCAAAATATGTTACTCCGTTGGGCTTTTTCTTTTACTTAAAGAAATGTAAAATACTTGTAATCTTACAAACAGTATACTTTTGCATTTTTGTATCTCATATTCTACTTTTAAATCTCTGCAGGAAAACCACACAACATGGCCATTACCTGTGAAAATTTACTGTAGAGATGAAAAAGGAGATCGAGTTGATGTTTCTAAATACTTGATTAAAAAGGGTTTGGCTTTAAGAGAGAGAAGGTATCAAATTTTAAATTTTTCTTGACATCATTGTGTGATTTGACACTTTTTTTCTTGCCTACATAAATCCCCATGTACTTTCTTTTTTGTTGCTGTTGTTCTGGTCCTGGAGCTTAAACTCAGGGCCTAAGCACTGACCTGAACTTTTTGGATCAAGGCTAGTGCTCTATCACTTGAGTCAGAGCTCCATTTTGGGCTTTTTTGGTAGTTATTTGGAAATAGGAGTTTCACAGACTTTCCTACCTGGGCTGACTTTGAACTGCAGTCCTCAGATTTTACTCTCTTGAGTAACTAGAATTACAGGTATGAGCCACCATCACCCAGTTTTTCCATGTACTTTAAAACCCAGATTGCATCTTACTTGCCCTCAAAGATTTATAAACTAACCCCCATGAGCCAGCTCAAAATTGCTCATTTCTTTATTCATAGTCATTAGCTCATGTATACTGGCTTTTATACTTTCCCCTTTTTCTCTGTCATTTATATTCCAATACCTTTCAATGCCAAAGAAAAAACCGGTGAGTACCATATCTGAGTCCTTTGGACATCCTTTTCTTTAAAACGTTTAGCCTTTATGTTGGTACATAAGGCTAGTTGGTACATATAACATGTATTTATGCAGCACAAAAATGAGCAGCCAAAAAAGTAATGGACCTATTTAACAATTTTTTCAGGTACTAAATTTTGGAGTTAAGCAACTTTGGTCTAAGGGAGCAAAAGTAAAATGTTGCTGTAGCCCTAGGTTTCTCTTCTCTCCTTCTAGATGTGGAGATACGTTGTAATCTCAAACGTCTGTTCCAGGTAGCTGCTTTGTGCTATACATGCCAGATCTCTTTACATGTAATTGCTTTAAAATCAGTCCTGATGAGATAGAATGAGAAGTCAGCAACAAAAGGTGGCCAAGGCTAGGTGGTCTGATGTGGTAGGTAAATGAGACCAGAGCTGCCTGGGCAGATAGCCTTGCTTCATGTTTTTAATCCTACATGTGGGCTCTATTTGCTCTAGGTTAAAGTAATTCTTGATAAATAGTTCAAATAAATGCTATGGATGTTATCTGCACCAATTTTTTTAACTACTATTACATCATGAAAACTAGTAGTAGTCTTAACGTGCAGGGCTTGGGTGGAGGCGTTGGGGATATGATACAGTTAAATGGAGGTGTGATGTAGCTATATCAACAGTGCTCCTTAAAGAAAAGTACAAGAAATTAAAAAGCTATAAATTTGCTAAAACCCAGCCAATGTTAATGTTGCATTCTAGAATTTTAATTTTTATAGTAAAGCTTGCTTTTTCTTCAATAAAAAGACAATAACACAAAGTTTTAGAAATCAACTAAATATACCTGCATCTAATAACGAGTACCTTTTTTTAAAAGCGCTATGAGCCAGGTGCCAGTGGCTCATGCCTGTAATACTAGCTTCTCAGGGGGCTGAGATCTGAGGATCACAGTTCAAAGCCAGCCCAGGCAGGAAACTCTGTGAGACTCCTATCTCCAATTAACCACCCAAAGACTGGAAGTGGTGCTGTGGTTCATGTGGTAGAGCGTTTGCCTTGAGCCAAAGAGCTCAGGGACAGCACCTAGGCCCAGAGTTCAAGACCTACAACTAACAAACAAAAATAAGTGACTTATGTGTTCTTTTTGTATCATTTTATTAGTGTTACTAACTTCGCCATATGTACTGTTCTAACGGTAGACTATATTGAAGGTGTTGTATTTTCCAACAGTATAGTACTTGAAGTAAACTTACTAGATTTTAAGAGCGAATAGCATATAAGTATGAGTAAGTAGTTTAAAACTCCTAAGTTTTTCCCCCATCACTCTGATTTATAATTTAAAATAACTTGTATTGTAACTTACATTATTACTTTCATATAGAAAACTAGACAAATATATCTTACACTTGAGCAAATATTTTCTTTAAATCTTAGGTAAGTTTGAAAGATTCTTTTTATGTGTTTCTCAGATTTTTACACTTGTTACTGTTTGATATGTTCTTTTATGGATATTACAGAACTAACAAATCAGATCACAACCGTTCATCTGAGAAGTCTCTAGAAACGCCTCTGGAACAAGGAGACTTCATCATTCCTGAGTGTAATAAATTTAACACTGACAAAAAAGCTGCTGATACAATCAATGAACTAAAGATATCTGAAGTGAAAGAAAAAATGCCAGAAACAAGAATCACTGGATGCTATAAACCACCAGCTATTCCTAACATGGACGTATTTGAGGCAATAGTCACTTGCATTGGTGATGATGGAACTATATTTGTGGTCCCTAAATCATCAGGTAAAGTCTTCTTCGTTAGGAAGGATTTGTTAGTAACTCTGGGCCTAGAGGCTCAAGTTCTGTAGTGTGATAGACACAGTTGGAATACTTGAACTTCATTTTCAAATGCTTGCTAGGACTAAACACTGTTGTACAATGTATCCATATAAATTGCTTTTAACACTGACTAGAATATAAAAGCTATGTGAGTTTTTCCATTTTATTTTTTTTCTCTTAATTTTATTGTCAAGGTGATGTCCAGAGCGGGTACAGTTCTGTCAGTAAGGTAGTGAGTACATTTCTTGCTGAACTTCTTACCCCTCCCTCATTTTTTCCCTCTTTTCCTCCCTCTCATTCCCCCCAAGTTATGCAGATCATTTCCAACCTAGTGTCTTGTGAGATCACTGTTGCACTGGTTCCCCCTTTGTCTCACCATTTTTGTATATATAAACATATACAATACCTAATGTGGCAGTAGTGTGTTCATAATTATGAGTGCTATTTTCAGTATAAGAAAAAAGGAAACACTGGGCGCCAGTGGCTCACGCCTATAACCCTAGCTATTCAGGAGGCTGAGATCTGAGGATCACGGTTCAAAGTCCGTGAAACTCTTTATTTCCAATAAACCACCAGAAAACCGGAAGTGGTGCTGTAGCTCAAGTGGTAGATCACTAGCCTTGAGCTGAAGAGCTGAGGGACAGCGCTCAGGCCCAGAGTTCAAGACCCACAATTGACCAAAAAAAAAAGTAACTTGTATGTACAAGATGCAGGGCACAGGAATCAAATACAGTGGGGAGAGGAAGGGAAAAACAAAATGCTGAAATAAGGATACAGCTTGACCCATTGTATTGATGAGATGTACAAGACAATATGCTGAAAACTTTACAACTTGGGGGAGGAGGGAAGGAAGGAGTTGGGGAGGTGGGTAGGGAAGGGATGGTAGGGGAAAAACAAAGGAGGGGGTACAATGCTGGCTAGGAAATGTACTCATTACCTTACTCATGTAACTTTAACCCCTCTGTACAGTATCTTTACAATAAAAATATATATTTTTTTTTTAAAAAGCCAGGCACTGGTGGCTCACACCTGTAATCCTAGCTACTCAGGATACTGAGATCTGAGGATCACGATTCAAAGCCAGCCCAGGCAGGAAAGTCTGTGAGACTCTTATCTCCAATTAACCACCAGAAAACCAGAAGTGGCACTGTGGCTCAAGCGGTAGAGCATTGGCCTTGAGCTGAAGAGCCCAGGGAGAGTGCCCAAGCCCAGAGTTCAAACCCCATGACCAACCAAAAAAAAAAATTTTTTTTTAATCACAAAAAAGAAAAAAGTAACTTGAAATTTCCATTTTCAGTTTAGTGACAAATTGAATAACAGTTTCAGATGAAATAAAATACCCTTGTTATATTATTTAACATTTGCTAAGTTGACATGAAAATAAACAAGATATAAAACCAGTGTGAAAACATTGGAAGTTAGACCTGTCTCCTCTGGGTTGTTTCAGGATTGTATGTAAAACCCTGAGCTTCCTCTGATAACTGTACAAAATTCAAGGTAAAGGAAAGGCTCCTTCACTCAAAGTGAGAAATCTAAACCAAAGCCCTCACATGAAGATAGAATCCTAAAGAAATCCTCCCACAGTTCATAATTAAAGTCAGAGTGCTCACCATCATTATGATTTGTTATGATTATTAACGACGGTGACTTTTAAATTATTGTGGAAGTCCTGGTCAGTTCCAGGCAAATGAGACACCATTTGGGAAAACAAAGCATAAAGGAATGTGGCATGGCTAAAATGGTAGTGAAACTGCACAGCAAATGTGAGACACTGATTTCAAATCCCAGGACTTCCCCTCCCCAAGAAAAATATTTTAATAATTTGAAGGTGAGAAAAATATTTGTAAGCTTAAAAAATTAAGGGAAGGGCTGGGAATGTGTCTTAGTGGTAGAGTGCTTGCCTAGCATGCATAAAACCCAGGATTCAATTCCTTAGTACCACATAAACAGAAAAGGCCAGAAGTGGTGCTGTGGCTCAAGTAGTTGAGTGCTAGCCTTAAGCAAAAGAAGTTCAGGGACATTGCCCAGGCCCTGAGTTCAAGCCCCAGGACTGACAAAAAAAAAATTAAGGGCAATAACAAAGGATTGAATTTTTTGGTTAGATAGAAATAGGAACTTCCATTGTTGAAAGGTATTATAAGCTTGTGATAACCTTTCCATACAAAGAATACTTAGGAAAACTGGAGAATTCAAACAATGGGAAGTACTATTGTCAGTTATTAGGTTTCATAGTGTGCTGTAGTTAAATGCAAGGTGTTGCTGACAGGGGCTGGGTAAAGAGCACATGATACCTTCCTATCTACCAGCTCAATTTCCTGTATAATTACTTCAAAATAGCTAAAAATTGTGTAATGTTGTAGGTGTGAAAGAATACATATACAGCACTTACATAAAAACATTAAAATGAGTAGCTATATCCACATACACCCAGGATAAGAAACATTACTAGGCCCTTAAAAGACCTATGCACAAGAACTTGACCATATCCCTGTATTGAATTTACACTTTCATTCCTTGCTTTTCTTTTCATTTTTTTTGAGTCGGTCATAGGGCTTGAACTCTGGGCCTGGGTGCTGTCCCTCTGCTCTTCAGCTCAAGGCAAGTGCTCTACCACATGAGCCCCAGCGCCACTTCCAGTTTTCTGATGGTTTATTGGAGATAAGAGTCTCAGAAACTTTCCTGCCTGGGCTGGCTTTGAACCGCAGTCCTCAGATCTCAGCCTTCTCAGTAGCTAGGATTACAGGCATGAGCCACTGGCACCCAGCAAGGCCTGCATTTATACAAGTTTGGAGGTTCTCTGTGAAAAAAAGAATAGAAAAAAAAATCACAACATATTCCTGGAGGCTCAGGACCCTTTCAGAGATGGCTTTAGGTTCACATGCAAGTGCTTCCTGAATATAATGTGGGTCTATGCAAAGACAGTGCTTCTGAATTTTGGGTACCCTTAGCTCCTACAGATACAGGTTATAATAGCTATTAATTTACTGACATTTCCTTACACTTTTCTAAATAGTTTTATTTTTAAAAGAAAATAGATACATGGCTGGGCACCAGTGGCTCACGCCTATAATCCTAGCTACTTAGGAGGCTGAGATCTGAGGATCACCATTCAAAGCCAGCCCAGGCAGGAAAGTCTGTGAGACTCTTATCACCAATAAACTACTAGAAAATCGAAAGTGGCACTGTGGCTCAAGCGGTGGCTCAAGCACTCACCTTGAGCTGAAGAGCACAGGGACAGAGTTCAAGCCCCATGACCAACAACAAAAAAGAAAAAGGAAATAGGTACATGTAGTTGACTGTTTTAGAAGTGAACATTTGAGTCCTCTAATAATAATACTTAATCCTGAAGCTTTGACACATTTAACCATTGTTTAAAAACCAGTGTACTGGTTTGAATGCTGGGTAGTGAAGTAGACACTTTTCATGGAGGACTTCTATAGTGCTGATAACACAGGTAGGTGTTCTCATGACCAGTTACGAAGATGATCTGAGGCTGTTGGAACTACCTGAGATGACAAAACTGAAGAAGGCCTGGGATGAGACTAACTTCAAAGCTGGCTTTCTGTCATATAAGTTATAAGGCACTATGGAAATACTGGGCCAATTAGTCAAAGAGAAATTAGAATTTTTTTTGGTAGGTCATAGAACTTGAACTCAGGGCCTGGCACTGTCCCTTAGCTCTTTGTCTCAAGGCTAGTTTTTTTTTTTTTTACCACTTTGAACCATAGCTCTACCTCCAGTTTTCTGTAAACCTACCTACATACTACGTACTCAGGAGGTAGAGATATGAGGATTGAGACTTGAAGCCAGCCCAGGCAGGAAAGTCCGTGAAACTGTTGAATTAACCACCAGAAAACTGGAAGTAGAGGTGGGGCTCAAGTGATAGAGGGTTAGCCTTGAGTAGAAAATCAAGCCCTGAGTCAAGCTCCACAGGCAACAACAACCGAAAAAAGTTCGATTGTTAAATTTTATTGATTGGTATTGTAAAGGCGGCTATATAAGTCAGAGTACAGTACTGCTCTCTCCCAGTTTTATCCGCTCTAGTCCCCATCTATAAGTTGTATACTTCATTTTCAACCTAGTGTCTAGTGAGTATCACTGCTGCATTTATTTCCCCTTTGTCCCACCCTTTTTGTGCCTACTCAAACTCCAGAAAACAGATTTTTATGAAAGTACAATTACCCTGAATTTTAAAGTTCTCTTTTTTAATCTAAGTTGTCAACTTATTAAAGATTGTGTTAATGACTTCTTACCAAAAAATGATACATTTTCCTAAATGCTTTCTATTTTTGGTCGTTTGTTCAGAATTTGAACTAGTCAAAATGATGAATGAAATTCAGAGTAACTTAAAGTGCCTTGGCCTTTTGGAGCCTTACTGCTGGAAGAAAGGAGAGCCGTGTGCAGTCCGAGGATCAGATACTATGTGGTACCGAGGCAGGGTGATGGAAGTGCTCGGCGGCACTGTCAGGGTGAGTCCTCATTCACATATTCTTGCTAGATGCTATAGCAGTGAGTGAGTTTTGAGTCTGAACACATGAAATTTTTACTAGAACATCATCTGATGAATCCCTGTAGTAAGGTCAGTCAAATGTATTATATGTTTATTTGTAATATATTTAGTAATCTGCTTCATCAGAAAATAGTTTCCAGACAAGATTTGATTACTGATACCTCAAGAGATGGACTGCTTTTAATAAGTAGCCCTCTGTCACACTGGCATTAAGTAGAACAACTTGGTTTCCAATGTGCTAATTACCTTTCCAGCAAATTTACTTACTGCTCAACTAATCTCATGGTGAGGGCTTTCCTGAAGAATGAGTTAGCACTGTGTCATCTAAAACCTTGAGAAATAGATGCCTGTACTGAAAAGTATATATAAAAGTACCGACAAAAATGTCTCCATCTCTAAACAAAGGAATGATTTAGTAGATGTAGATGCTTCATGAGATATTTAGTACTTGATAATTTTAATTTGGATTGAGGTAAGAGATAAAAATTTGGAGGAAAAACACGTTCTGCTTCTATTGGACAAGGTTTTTTTCTGGGCTGGGCATGGTAGCTCACACCAATCTCAGTTACTTAGGAAACTGAAGAATTGTGGTTTGAGACCACACTGAGCAAAATAGTAACTAAGGCCATAATCCAGATACATTAATACACATAGGTAAGTCCAGCTACTTTGGAAGCATGGGTAACCTCCTGCTGTTACCTGGACAAAATGTGAGACCCTATCCAGAAAATAAAGCAAAAGTGACTTGCAAGTATGCATCACGTGGTGAAGTATTTGCCTAACAAATTGAAGGCTCTGAGCTCAATCCAAAGAAAAGTAGTTCATAATGTTGTTTCCTAATAACTATATAATACTGAGTTGGTGGTGGTGGTTGTAGTTTTAGCTTCTTTCACATATAATTTGTTAATTATCCTGGACACACTACTGCTCCCATTTTAATAAGAAAATTGAAGTTCAGGTTCAGTGTCCACAAAGACCACGTTCCTGGCTGCTGGTTGCTGAGGTTCATATCTAGGTATCTGGTTCCTAAACATTTTAGGTCTTGTACTTTTTCTGCTGGACTACAAGCTGACAACATTCTTTTTTTTTCTTTTTATTTATTTATTTTTTTTTGTTTTTCCTGGGTTCTGTCCCTGAGCTTTTGTGTTCAAGGCTAGCACTTGGAGCCACAACACCACTTCCAGATTTCTGGTGGTTAATTGGAGATGAATCTCATGGACTTTCCTCCCCAGGCTGTCTTTGAAGCTCAATCTTCAGATCTCAGCCTCCTGAATAGCTGGGATTATAGGCATGAGCCACCAGTGCCCAGCTTAAACACTTTCGAGTTTGGGGTCCACCCTTAAACATTTGGATACTTAACAGGTTCATGTGTTTATACATACATAGTCACTTTTTACATATATTTGAGTGATTCAGATAACCCCTCCACTTTTCTTTATTACAATAGTGAACTGAAATTCAGTTTTCATCAAATTACCAAATGTGTGTGGTAATCCAAAAACAAGTACAGTGTGAATAAACTTTGTTAAAGATTTCTCCTGCTATCAAAATATCAGCTTAAAGTTGAAGGCTGAGACTCAAAGTGGTATAGTGCTAACCTTGAGCAAAAGAGCTCAGGGATAGTGCCCAAACACAGAAGTTCAAGCCTCATGACTGACCAAAAAAAAAAAAAAAGAGGAATGTGGCTTAGTGGAAGAATGCTTGCTTAGCATGCATGAGCCCTAGGTTCAGTTCCTCAGTACCACATAAATAGAAAAAGCCAGAAGTGGCACTATGCCTCAAAGTGGTAGAGTGCTAGCCTTGAGCACCGAGAGGCTCAGGGACAAAGCCCAGCCCCAAGACTGGCAAAAAAAAAGATAAAAATATCAGCTTACTTTAACTTATTTTAAAGTATTCTGATAGTCTAATCATTACCTATTACTTTTTCCCATTGTCACTTTACATTTCAGGTGTTTAAAATTAATTTTTTCAATGTCCTAACGTTCCGAGTTTATTCAGTAAGTCAGACACAGTAAGACAAATTTCACATGTTCTCTTCCATGTGTAAGCTAAAAATAGTGATCACTATAAGACAAGAAGAGGTGGGAAGTGATAGTCATTTCATTAAGTTAGGACAGAAGAAATAATTTATTGTTCTTAAGATAATTTAGAAATTGTCAGAATAAAATCATTTTAAAAAATGGTTTGGGGCTGGGAAGGTGGCTCAGTGGTAGAGCGCTTGCCTTGCATGCCTGAGGCCCTGGGTTCGATTCCTCAGCACCACATAAGCAAAAAGAAAAAAGCCAGAAGTGGCGCTGTGGCTCAAGTGGTAGAGCGCTAGTCTTGAGCTGAAGAGCTGAGGGACAGCGCCCAGGCCCAGAGTTCAGGCCCCACGACCAGACCCCCCAAAAAAAAATGGTTTGTAAACTTACATGGCTCATTTAGAGACTCTTTGCTCAAGCCTCAGTACCATAAAAAAAGAAAACTACTGGGGCTTGAATTCAAAGCCTAATGCTCTTTGCTCACAAGCTGGTACTCTACCATTTGAGCCACACTTTTCAGACCAGCATTTTGCTGGCTAATTGGAGACAGAGTCTCCCACAATCTTTTCTTCTGTACTGGTTTCAAGATCTCAGCCTCCTGAGTATCTAGGATTAGAGATATGAGCTATTAGCACTTACCTGAGAAATTCCTTTAATGAGACCAGTTTTCTTTTAATCTGATTTAAATATTATGTATAAGAAAGCCTTTTTACAATGAGATTTGATACTCTATAGGATGAGGGAATACAATCTTCTCTTTTATCTGGAAAAGTTCAAATCCAAATTCATTAATTCTAGGATGTCTTTGAGAAAAGTAAACACTTTTGAGTAAATGTTTATTTCATGAAAGCAACACATAATTTCTTCAGAAAAGATGAGCTGACCTGGATGCCAGTGCCTCATGCTTGTAATCCTAGCTACTCGGGAGACTGAGTTCTGAGGATCACAATTTGAAGCCAGCCTGGGCAGGAAAGTCCATGAGACCCTTATCTCCAGTTAACCCCAGAAAACTGGAAGTTGCTCTATGTCTCAGCGTGGTAGAGTGCTAGCCTTGAGTGCAAAAGCTCAGGGACAGAGCCCAGGCCGAGTTTAAGCCCCATAACCACCACCATCAACAACAAAAGTGAACTGATGCTGGGTGCTGGTGGCTCCCTGTAATCCTAGCCGCTCAAGAGACTGAGATCTGAGAATGGAGGTTCAAAGCCTGCCCAGGCAGGAAAGTCCATGAGACTCCTATTTCCAATTAACCACCAGAAAACCAGAAGTGGTGCTGTGACTCAAAGTGATAGAGTATTATTCTTAAGTGAAATTGCTCAGGGATAGCACCCAGGTCCTGAGTTCAGGCTCCAGAACCAATCAAAAAAAAGTTGAGCTCCTCCAAACAGGATGAAACAGTTCTTCATTTTTCCCAGGTTAGACCCAAATGCCTTTCTTGTTGTTGTTGATACTAGAAAATTCCCTCTGCCCACTAAACTCAGAAGCCTAATTTTAACTGTAAGTTTTATTTGGTCTCTTTCAGGTACAATACTTAGATCATGGATTCACTGAGAAGATTCCACAGTGTCACCTCTATCCTATTTTGTTGTATCCTGACACGCCCCAGTTTTGTATTCCTTGTCGGCTCTTTTTGACTGTACCCGTGAGTGCCTAGTAATTTGTGGGATGCTTCATTTTAACTGAATGTTTTAGATTGATACATTTTAGAAATTATAGAATGCAAAATTCCTTTCTCTTACAAAAATGCTATAAATAAGTGCAGTTAAAGGGAGTTTACGATGAGAAACCACAAAATTACACTTTTCAGTATAAAATACAAAATTAAGGATTGGAGATGTGGCTCAGTTGGTATAGCACTAGCTAGTGTGCCAAAGAATAGAGGTACTGACTGAGTTCAAGTTCCAATCTCAGGCCTAAAAAAAAAGAAAAGGAAAAAACCTTATAAAATTATACTTCACAAATAGGAAGGCTTAGATTCTTAACATGTATTTGCCGCATCACATGAAACTTCAAGAAATTTGAAGCTCATCCTCCATTCAAAAAAAAAAAAAAGAGTGGTATATTAGCCAGGGAAGGTGGCTTCATATAATCCTATTTAGGAGGCAGAGAATAGGAGATTGCAGTTTGAAGCCAGCCTAGGCGTAAAAGCTCCTTAGACTCCCATCCCAACCAGTGGCTGGATGTGATGGTGTCCATCTGTCATCCCCCTACCTCAAAAATTACCAGTGCAAAAAGAGGTTGGGGCAGTGACCAAAATGGGAGAGCACCAAGTTTAAGGTCCTAAGTGTAACACATCCCCACTACCATTAAAAAAAAAAAAAAAAGTTGTGTAACTAAAGCTAAACTTGGTGATGTTGAAGGAGCGAACTTTTCTTGTTACAGAGTTAGTTCTACGGCTCTGGGATCAGAAGTGGCTTAGCTGGGTGGTGAGGGAGTCCTTAGTGAGTCTGCGCTCTTCATAGTCACTAACGAAAGGAGCTCCTAGGACAGGGGAGCTGCTGTTGGAGTGGCTCATCACATGGTAGTTGTGGAGAACTCGCTTTTGTGGTGGTGGTGTTGTTTCTGGTGGTACTTAGTATAGAACTGTGGGCCTAGTGCTTGCCAAGTAGTTGCTCTATCACGTGAGCTATAGTCTCTAGTCCTTTTGCTTTAGAAAAATTTCAGATAGAACTTCCATTTCTGCCCTAGCTATCCTAGATCACATTCTCCTACTTTTTTGGTGTTTTTGTGCCAGTAACAGAGTTTAAACTTAGAGTCTGGGTGCTGTTAGTTTTTTTCACTCAAGGCTGGCACGCAGCCACTTGAGCCACATCTCCACTTCTGGCTTTTTGCCTGGTTAATTAGATATAAAAGTCTCATGGGCTTTTTCACCTGGGCTGGCTTTGAACCACAATCCACAGATCTTTGCCTCCTAACTAGGATTATAGGTATGCACCCAAGTGCCCAGCTCATCTCCTCCTCCTTATGCTTCTTGCACAGTTGGAATGACAGGTATGAACCTCTACACCCAGCTTCTCATTGGTTCAGATGGGGATCTCTTGAACTTTTTGCCCTAATCCACCTGATCTCTACCTAGTAGCTGGGATAACAAGTATGAGCCATTGCAGCCAGCTTTTGTAGACCCACGAAAACTGACAGTCCAGGCTCCTCATTATATATGGACCATAGGCATATAAAGGCACTTCATTGACAATTGATCTTTATTGTAAAAGTGATGTCAGAGGGGTTACAGTTACATAAGTAAGGTAATGAGTACATTTCTTGTCGAACGTGGGGAAAAACGAGGAAGGGGTTACAATTAGTGTGTGAGTATGCATGTATGCATGCACACGCTCACTGGTCCTGGGGCTGGAACTCAGGGATTGGGCACTGTCCCTGAACTTGTTTTTGTTCAAAGATAGTGCTACACCATTTGAAGCCACAGCACCATTTCTGGCTTTTTGGTAGTTAATTGGGGATAAAAGTCTTAAGGACTTTCCTACCCTGGATGACTTTGAACTGCAATCCTCAGATCTCAGCCTCCTGAGTACCCAGATTTACAGAATTGAGCCACTGACAGACCAGTAACAATGGTCTTTTTTAAAAAGTTTTTTATTTTTGCTTCTATTGCAAGTTTATGTTTTTTAAGTATAAAATGTTCTAAGTGAGCCCTATAAGGAGAAGCTAAAATGATTAATTTTTAAAGATCATGGTCAGCTGTCCAGGATAGTCTCTTTCATTTTTTGTGCTGCATAGATTTGGCAGAACTGACAAGCATTAACCACTTATGGCTTCTTCTAAATATCTTCACTTGCTCCTTGCTTGGTATGAGGTTGAAGGTGGAAAACCTTGCTTTTATTTTTTCCATGTAGGTTGGGAATGTCTGGCAGCCTGATGCAATAGAGCTTCTTCAGGAACTACTTTCGAAGAGAGAGGTGGACATCCATGTTGTGGTAATTTGCTCTTAAACCAGTGGCTATTTAAGATTTCATAAGGTAACAAAATTGAGGAACTTTTTTAAAGTAATTGTACAAAGCGGGTACAGTTCTACAAGTCAGGTTATGAGCACAATGCACCCCTTTCTTCATTCTCCTCCATTGTGCCTGCCTTCCTCACCCTCGTTATGTAATTCAGCTTTTACATGATGTACATTGAATACAGTGACTGCATTTGTTCACTCTTCTTCCTTCTGTTTGTGTGCCCTACTCAGCTCACTTCTTCCCTCTCCCCACAATACATGTTTCAACTTCCTGGAATTCATTTGTTAAATAATTTCTTGTTCAAAGGAGTTAACACCGTTGAATTCCTCCCTTGACTATGTGTCTCTTTAGTCCTCTTATTTCTGCATATATGAATATAACCCTGCATATTCTTTCATGTATATTTGTATTTTAGATTCAGCTTGCCCAAGTGACAAACATGTGTCATTTGTCTCTCTGAGGCTGACTTACTTCACTTAACATAAATTTTTCTTGGCCCATTCATTTACCTAAAACATAATATCCTCTCTGATAGATGAGTAAAATTCCATTGTGTGTATGTGTATATATATACACATATATGCACTATATATGTCTAAGTATATGTGTATATACTCAGACATATGTATACATATGTGTTCACTTAATGAGTAAAATTCCAGTCTCTTGTATATTTATTTCTATGTATCATATTTTCTTGATTCACCCATCTGTTGTATTAGGGATATTTTTAGATGAGTCATGTTCTATGTTCCTATAAGACTATAAGTTATTCATTACTGGCTGGGAATGTGTCTTAGTGGTAGAGTCCTGGCCTCACATGCATGAATGTGTCTTAGTGGTAGAGTCCTTGCCTCGCTTGCATGAAGCCCTGGGAATTCTTCAGTACCACATACAAAGAAAAAGCTGGAAGTGGTGCCATGGCTCAAGTGGTAGAGTGCTAGCCTTGAACAAAAGAAGCTCAAGGAGAGTACCCAGACCCAGAGTTCAAGCCCTTGGCCTGGCATTATTCATTATATAATGAGTTACCCCCTTGGTTTATTCTCACCCGGGTGAGGACCTACTTTCAGTCTAGTAGAAGTGTATTCTGTTTTGCTTTTTTTTTTGGTCGGTCAGGGGGCTTGAACTCTGGGCCTGGGTGCTGTCCCTCAGTGCTTCAGCTCAAGGTGAAGGCTCTACCGCTTAAGGCACAGCGCCACTTCAGGTTTTCTAGTGGATAATTGGAGATAAGAGTCTCATGAACTTTCTTGCCTGGTCTGGCTTTGAACTGCAATCCTCAGATCTCAGCCTCTTGAGTTGCTTGGATTACAGGCGTGAGCCACCAGTGCCTGGCTGGAAGAGGATTCTCTTTGTAATAAACATCATTTACAAAAGAAAAAGTTACCAGTTGAGTACCTAGACATGTTTTAAATGAGTTTAATTTTGAGCAAGTTTCTGAGAACTTTTCTAACCATTAACCTCAATGGTTATGTGAAATATTCATTATTAACAGCTTCCTTATTTGGATACAGGCAGCAGTACTGCACTGTAGAGGTGTTTCTAACTATATTCCACAGGTTTTCAGGCTGTTGCTGTGTCTACAGTATTGGGGGAGGGACAGGCAGCGCTAGGCTAGCCTGTCCTCAAAGGCAGCAAACCAAGACATGAACCTAAAACGTGCGCACTGCAGAGTAACATGCTGAGAACAGGTAACAAGAAACAGATAAAAGAATAAGTAGGATCACATTTTTAAAATGATACATATTTTCCTTAGGGAAAGATGGTGGGGTTCTCCTAACAGGAGCAGAAAACAAAAAGGCAGAGACATTTTTAAGGAAATAGAATATAACCATAAACAGCAGAGGCTTCTTTGAGGAGGACTAGAAGGAGGAGCGGTCATAAGGATTCAGGCACAGGGGGGATGGTTGGCAGCCAGGTACAGGTTTCTGAGCAGTGCAAATAAGGCTTATTTTCAGCTGTATATGGACTAGCATGAGAAGAGAGAAAAAATAGTAAGGAAAGGGTTTGTGTATTAGAGTAATAAAAACCTAGGAAGAGCCACAAGACCCACTTAAGAAAGCAAGCAGCCGGGTGCCAGTGGCTCATGCCTGTAATCCTGGAGAGGAGGCTAGGGTCAAGGATCATAGTTTGAAGCCAGTCCGGGCAGGAAAGTCTCTGTGAGACTCTTAACTCCATTTAACCACTCAAAAACTGGAAGTGGCACTGTGGTTCATGTGGTAGAATGCTTACCTTGAGCACAGAGAAGCTCAGGGGCAGTGCTCAGGCCCTGGTTTAAGCCCCACAACTGACCCCCAAAAAAGCAAACCACTTACACTGGTAGTAATGAGTTCCTCCCTAGTTGTACACAAGTTGGCATGAGTCACTGAGTATAGGGGGAAAAAAGTTTGCCAAGCTTGCGTTCTAGCTTTCTTTGCAGCTTAGTTTATCATAGGTAGAAGAACCATTTGCAGTGTAGCAGAGCTATGTTGGCTTCTCAGACTGTGAATGCGCACACCTGCGTGCTCTTTACTATACACTCTGCCACACATACTTTCTCTGGTCTCACATGCACTGAGAGATGCCACTGAAGGCCGAAGGCAAGGGGAGACCTCCCGGAATGCCTGCCTGCCCGTGTAGCTTCCAGTTTTGTAGGAAACCAGAAAACAAAAACATTGGCGGGTGCCAGTGGCTCATGCTTACAATCCTAGCTACTCGGGAGGCTGAGATCTGAGGATCCAGATTCAAAGCCAGCTCAGACAGACAAACCCACAAGACTGCTCCAGATAACCTGCAAATGGCTTAAGTAGAAGTGTAGAAATGTTACAGCACCAACTATGAACAGAAAAGGCAAGGGAGAGCCCACAAGCCTCTGAATTCAAGTCCTGGAACTGGAAAAACATAAACTGTACAGCATATAAGGTAGCTGTAAGTGCTTAGAAGAGAAAGGTATACTAAGAAGGAGTGTGGCTGGGGAAGTAGAACACATTAAAGATAGCCATCAGAGCTGGCACTCCTCTAATCCTAGTTTCTCAGGAGGCTGAGATCTGGAGGATTAAGTGTTAAGGTCAGCCCAGGCAAGAAAGTTCACTAGACAGAATTTGCAAAATAATCAGCAAAAAGCAGGGCTGGAGGTATGACTTAAGTGGTAGAATGCCAGCTTATCAAGGATGAGGTGCTGAGTACCTAATACCCTAGTATTACTAAAACAAAACAAAAAACAGGTGATATTTCAGTCAGTACCAAAAAATGGTGAGAGGGGACAACTCATGATGCAGTAGCTGGAGACAATGCCAAGAGTTCCAAGATAGGAGCAGCAGCCTGCAGAGGGACAGACAGGCAGGGCTCTGCCGTGGAAATGCATTGTTACTTTGCTCCACCTGCTAAGCCTGAAGAACACCGCTCCTCAGGGAACAGGAGAGAGCTCCCCCATGGAGAGAGGAATTTGGACAACTGTGGGAATCATGGAAATGGAGAGAACTTTCCTGCAGGTCACCTGGCCAGTTATGGACATGCTCAGGTCCTGTTCTTTGTCAGTGGACTTCGTGAAAGTTCATTGCTTCACTGCAGAACAGATCCTTTCTCCTACTTAGTAGAAATTATTATATCATCTAGATAGTAAACTATATATAATCTGGTATATAACAAGGAAATCCATATGATATGGACCTGTAAATATATTTTACATCACCAAAGTAGTATAATTGCTGCCACTTAACCTACAAAATGCCAGAAAGAAAAATCTGTGAAATGAGTCACTTATAGTCACATAACTATCTTGTACTGCCAATGTTGTCAGAAGCTTAGTTCCACATTGCTCTCTATAAAAGTTTAGATTTGTTTTACTAACCTCCTTCTTTGTTGATATAAATAGGAATTGCCTGAAAACCCATGGAAGGAGTTGTCTGTTCATCTCTATTTTGGTGGAATGTCACTTTCCCACTTCATGGCACTCCATAAATACTGCACTTTTGAACATTCTGAAGAGATATTTAAAGAAGTAAGAACTATTTTCTATTTAAAAAATCTATAGAAAGAATTCTGATTAAAATTTTGTATTTTGTTTTCTACCTTGTCTTAAATATGATTGTACATGTCTGATTTTAACAGGGAAGTTTAGAATTTGTAAGTTCTTTATTGAGAGCAACATATAATACTTTGCTTCATACAAGTCCTAAAAAGACTATATTAAGATTCACCTAAGTTTTCTGTACCTTCAAATCTAATGAGCCACTTACATTATTCAGTGTTGTCTGAATATGGATGCTCATTATGAAATCTACATACAAGGGTGCACTCTCCTCACATAAAAATATTTTTTCCCTTTGGCTTAACATAGAAGTTTTAGGGGCTGGGAAGGTGGCTCAGTGGTAGAGCGCTTGCCTTGCATGCATGAGGCCCTGGGTTCGATTCCTCAGCACCACATAAGCAAAAAGAAAAAAGCCGGAAGTGGCGCTGTGGCTCAAGTGGTAGAGCGCTAGCCTTGAGCTGAAGAGCTGAGGGACAGCGCCCAGGCCCAGAGTTCAGGCCCCACGACCGGACCCAAAAAGAAAAACAACAAAAAAAACCATAGAAGCTTTATATGATAGGTTGAGCAATCCTAACCCAAAATTCCACCACTGGAAAAGCTCCCAAATCCAGATTTTTGATGCCAACATGATGCTTAAATTGTTTCAGATTTAGGGGATACTTCAAATTTTCAGATTAGAGATACTAAATCAATACATGCATAAATAATCCAAAATAAAAAAACTCCAATCTGAATCATCTCTGGTCCCAGTTATAAATAAGAGACTCAAAGCCACATGTTGAACTAGCCAAAACTATGCTTCTATTTTTTCAAACTACTAAAAATATGCTGCATCATACTAATATACATTGCAAGGTAATTTATTTCTAGAGCCACAATTCATGTGTTACTGTTTTTGTTGCTGCTTTTATATCACCCAAACTGGCCTTGAACTCACAAGTCCTTCTGCCTCAACCTCCTGTGTTACAGGTAATCTACCACTAGGCCTACCTTTGCTAGATTTAAAAAAAAAAAAAACAAAAACATCTTAGTGGTAGCGCAAAATTAAACATTGAGTGGTCTGGTCAATATAGAAAACTCTTCTCAGAAATGATGATGTCACTTTGTGGCCATCGTCTTCACTGGCAACTTTCTCTTTAAAGCAGAGGTGTATGTGTGATAAAAGGTACTCCATTTATTAGACTAACGAAAAAAGATTACTTGTTTGTCTTCTAGCAAGAAACATGCTGGCAGTATGGCTTAAGTGGTAGAGCACCAGCTAAGCAACAAGCTCACCCCCCCCCAAAGGACATTTTAAAGGGAAAAGGAAAAAAGGTCTCTCTTAAAGTAATTACCACTAATGTGTCTAGCATCATTGTTGGGATGATAGATTTGAAATGTAACAAGCAAGGTTATTTAGAATGCAGGTATTCCTGTAGCTTATAACTGAATGAACCTGCAAGAAGGTACAGCCAATTTTGTGAAGATAGAATATGAAAGCGCCGTAAAACATTATATAGCTAACGGTGATTTTACTCATCTGGTATATTTATATTATTTCAGAAACCCACAGAATACAATACAAAGTATGAGGAGGAAAAATGGGAAATAAAATTTGAGGTAAGTTGCAACGCAGATATTTAGGAAACTCTGAACACTTCGTCAATGTAAAGGCTCTGATAAAAGAATAAAGAAGTAAGAGTTTTCTTTTATAACCACTTTATTGAGCTATTATTTATACATTACACTTTACCTTCTTAAAATGGACAACTCAGTGGTTTGTAGCATTTATGGAGTATTTCAACCAAGCCACTAATTCTAGAACATTCTCAAAGGAACCCCTCACCAACAGCAGCCATACTCTTCCCTTTCCCAACGTCATGACAGCAACTCAGTTGTCTGATTTGCCTATTTTAGACATTCTATGTAAGTGGAACTACATAGTATGTAATATTTTGTCTCTAGTTTTTCACTTGGCATTTTTTCAGGATTCATGACATTGTAGCACTTAGCAGAACCTCATTCCCTTTTAGCACCAAAAAAAATTGCAGTGTGGCTGATTCATCCATCTGCAGCTGGACAGTCAGGATGTTCACAGCTTGTGGCCACTCTGATAATGCTATGAACATTCATGTGCAAGTGTTCATGTGGACATGTTTTTCTTCTGGGCACATACTCAGCTGTAGAATTACTGAGTCTTACAGTAACTGTTGAACATTAAAGGACCTGTAAGACAAAAGCAGCTGCACCATTTTATGTTTACTTATGTGCAGAGGTCACATTTTCTGGTACCCTCAAATTTGTAATTTGACTTTTTCAGATACTTGTTCTTGGAGGATTTGCTTCAGTTTAGAAATATCAGAGCCAGGCACTGGTGGCTCACATATGTAATCCTAACTACTCAGGAGGCTGAGATCTGAGGATCGGGCAGAAAAGTTCATGAGACTCTTCAATAAATTACCTCCAAAAAAGCCAGAAGTGGTACTGTGGCTTAAGTGATAGAGCACTAACCTTAAGCAAAAACAAAGCTCAAGGACTGTACCCAGGCCCAGAGTTGAAGCCCCAGGACTGGCAAAAAAAAAAAGGAAATGTCAAACAGTAATAACCTGATTTATAAATTTCAATGTGATAGCTTTACTGCGTGTTAATTGCCAAATTTTTTAGTAAAATCTTTTTTTAGAAACTCCTGCTGGGCTCTTCAGAACACATCTTGCCTCTGACCTCTGTATGCATTTGTTCTAGCTGCTCACTGCCTCAGCCCTTTGGAGGTATCACAAACCTGAGAGAACTCATCTTTCTATGATTTTAACTTAACTCTTCTTTCAATATTTCATATACTTTACTTGGTAGTTGGGTTTTTAAGTAACAACCTGTGCTAACATAAATACTACAAGAATGTACAAAGGAGACAGGAAATGCCCGTTCTGCCCCTCCAGCACCCACATGCTGTCATTAGTGATTGATACTGTTGAGCATTTGTTAACTGATATTCCAGAGTTACACACACATATATAAACACATCATGAACCAGGCATGCGCTTTTTGCACAAAACCTTTAAAGTTGAAGGACAAAGGAATGCTAAAGTAAACTTACAGTCATCACATTTCATTCATATTGTTCCAAAAATCCCTTTGCAGAATTCAGGATGTAAGAGAGCTTGTTTTCCTGGTCATTGAAAGTACACTGACACCATAATGATTTTTTTTTTAATCATGTAACCAATTTTCATCATGGTCATTCTGGCTTACATTGTTTTGTGGTACTTTAGGAACTGCTTTTGTCTGAGACAGAGACTTCTGTTTTATCACCGTTCTTGTCTTCATCACTGCCTCCCCCAGAAGAACTGTATCCCGTGCAAGTGAAGCACGTCGTGTCGCCTAATGAAGTATGTGTCACCTCTACCATCTTCCTCACTGTAAATAACTCCACGTGGCCCCGCCCAAACACTGTCTCAGCAGACATTTGATACTTGAGGAGACAGATGTTTCTTAAGCACCTGCTGGGTTCCCAGTGTCGCGTTTCCTTACTTAGCCATTTAAGATGGATCTGTCTCCACCTATGACATTTGATACCCAGCTCCCACCCATGGCTGCTGGTGCACAGATGTAATGTTCTTCCATGCTGCCTTCCTTACTGCTCCTCCCACCCTGAGCCCTTTGCCCTTTATGACACATGACTGCCTCCCATGGGTCACTCCACTCATTGTTACCCTCACAACCTGGACTACTGCCTGACACTGAGTATTCTCTCAGTGAATACTGACAGGCTGAATGAATACATTCACTAGATAAACACACTCAAGCAAATTCAGTTACTTGACAAGAAGAAAGAATGACAAAGCCCTGGCAGTTCTTCCACCCCTTCATACATTAAGCCAGTGTCTTACAGAAGAGAAGGGGTTTGCTGCCTGAGCAGAGTAGTGTACAACTGCTGTTTCCCATTTTTTTATTTATGTCTAACAAATTATCTCCATACTTAACACAAATCAGAGTTGAGAATCCAAAAGCTGCTTCATTTTAAGTTCAGCTCTATACCCCTCGGGAGGCTGCAGTGAAGGTACCCATGAGGACTGCGGAATCTACTTCCAAAATGATACTTTCCACAGGGCCTAGGTCTTCCCCTCCCCTTTCCCCTCCTCCCCAGCCATTGCAGTTATCTGCTGACAGGGACTGTGCACCTCGGGGAGACACAGTCCCTGACAAGTGTAAAGCTGTCCTACAGTCTGGTCTCAGCAGTCAGCTCACTGCAGTGGTCCCTTGCCCACAGGGGCCAAGTAGCCCGAAGCCAGGTTGTGTGGGCCTCCCCTCTCTAGGCGGTGCTTAACCACCAAATGCTATAAATGACACAATTGATTTTTTTTTCCTCCTTTCCCCACCACTTAGGTCTATATTTGCCTCGATTCTGCAGAAACTTATAATCAGTTAAGCCATTGTAATGACAGAGGACTCAATGGGGAATCGAAATCAGAGAGCCTGGAAGAAGCACTGTGGAGGTTTAATAAGAGTGTGGAGACCTTTGCTCCTCTGACAGATTTTAGAACAGGTACATGTAGGTTTTTAATAAGACCAACTTGTCTTGAGGGACTTTGGAAGCAGGTATTTCTGAGTGTAGGAAAGAATAAATTCATGGAGAGGTAGAGGGATTTTATATACTCAGTCCCAAAGGAGCAGCTCCTTGTTTTGTTCATATCTCAAGGGAAGTCCCACAACTGTGTTCAGTGTGATTCACATTACTTGTACATTTGGTATTTTGTACTTGAACAAATTTTTTTAATAGATATGGTCAGATTAATGGACACATTGAAAAAGAATTTATGTTGAAGGAGTTTGTAGGTTAAAATGATCTGTAGGGGGGCTGGGAAGGTGGCTCAGTGGTAGAGCACTTGCCTTGCATGCATGAGGCCCTGGGTTCGTTTCCTCAGCACCACATAAGAAAAAAGAAAAAAGCCGGAAGTGGCGCTGTGGCTCAAGTGGTAGAGCACTAGCCTTGAGCTGAAGAGCTGAGGAACAGCGCCCAGGCCCAGAGTTCAGGCCCCATGACCGGACCCCCCCCCCAAAAAAAAATCTGTAGGTGCTCACGCCTGTAATCCTAGCTACTCAGGAGGCTCAGACATCAGGATTGTGGTTCAAAGCCAATGTCTATGAAACATTTATCTCCAATAAACCACCAGAAAACCAGAAGTGGTGCTGTGGCTCAAGTGGTAGAGCACTTGGCTTGAGCTGAAGAGCTGACAGACAGCACCCAGACCCAGAGTTCAAGCCCTACAACTGACAAAATGTTCTGTAGGTGTTCTGGGGTGGGTTTTGAGGTTTTGCTGGGGCTTGAACCCTTAGTTCAAGCACTCTACCATTAGAGCCACAGATCCACTTCTGGCTTTTTAGTGGTTAATTGAAACTAAAGATATCACAGACTTTTCTGCCCAGGCTGGCTTCAAGCCTCAGTCCTCAGATCTCAGCCTCCTGAGTAGCTAGGATTTACAATGAGCCACTGTATCCTATGTGAGTTCGATTTTGAGGAGACAACACTTGAACTATGTTTTAAGACTAGAAAGGTAAAACTTGGAGCTACTAATAGCAACTTGGTTATTTCCTAGAAGGTTCTTTTGATGGTTATACATATAAGAACTCTTTCAAAAAAAATCATGTGTTTGGGAATGTAGCTCAAATGGCAATAGAGCGCTTGCCTAGCATGTGTGAAGTTTCATCCTCTATGTTGCAAAAAAAGAAATGAAAAACACATTTGAAATAAGACTGGTACATTAAAGTCATTTAGCATTTCAGTCATTGGTCCACAACTACATTTTTCTTGTGGAATTATGTAGAAGAGTTTGAAGACACAGGGAGAGAAAAAAGAGGAAGTGAAGGAAGGCAGGAAACATATCTATCTACTCTGAAAGGTAGAAGAGCATGAAGAAAAATATAGACTAGACTGATTTTCCGACTTATTCAATTCTACCATTAACTGTGGTATTTGCTTCTATTGGGTGCCATATTAGGAATATAAAACTGCAATTCTGCTTTTGAGTAATGTGGGTAGAAACATGTAAACCAAGAAGCTCATAGTAAAGCATGTCATTGAGTGAAAAGAGAAGGATCCGTTAGAGCTTTATAAGTCATGTTGGATCTTTGAAAGAAGAGACTTTTATACAAAAAAAAGGCTTAGGGGCAGAGTATAGTGGTATGTGTCTGTAATCCCAGCCACTCTAAAGCAGAGATCATGATTGTGATTTGAGGCCAACCCAGGCAAAAAAAAGTTGGTGAGATCTTATCTCAACACAGAATCTGGCTGTGGTGATAAGCACTATAACCCCAGCTACACAAGAGGATTGTGGTCTGAGTCTGGCCCAGGCAAAATGTGCAGCCCTTTCCAAAAAAGTATTAGAGGAGTGGTTCACAGGTCAAGAGTGCCTGCCCAACAAGTTTAAGGCCCAACTTCAAACTTTAGTACCTCTAGAGGGAAGAGAGAGTTCTTTGTGTGTGTTCAGGGAAACCTCTAGATAAAAAGGCAGACGTGAATTAGGGGTATTAAAATTTTACATTGTGTTGAGGTAACTCACTAAGACTATAAATTGCATAAGAGTTATTTAGGAAACCCTGAAGCTCTATACATTGCAGTGCTGAGTAGAGTAGGTAGTGTAGGCAGTAGCCTGATGCCATTGAAGAATTGGAACAAGGAGTGTACATTTTCATCCTGGTGGTCTGACAGAATGACTGGAGGACACAACTCAGAACTGAAGGCTAGAACTGAAAAAAAAAACACCATGCTTATTATTGGAACGAACTAGGGACAATGAGCAGGACTGATAGCAGGGTGAGAGAAGCTATGGAAGTTGGGAACTCAGAGCATGCGAAGGGCCTTTCTTCAAAGCCTTATCCTTAGGAATTAGTAAAAGAGGATTTATAAAATAGAAGCAGAAAAATGAGGCCAAAAAAGGTCAGTTGTTCGGCATTTCATTCTGTATAGCGTGAAGAACAATGATTTTTGTGCTTTTCCCCCTTTTCCTGTCTTTACAGACATGCCTTGCCTTGCAAAATATACAGATGGTTTATGGTATAGAGCAAAGATTGTTTCCATTAAGGAATTTAATCCTTTATCTGTCTTGGTGCAGTTTGTTGATTATGGATCAACTGAAAAGTTGTCAGTAAACAGGTAAAGAAAAATATTAGTTAAATAAGGATTCTTAGTTTTGTTTGGGGATTCTTTTTGTAATGCTTTAAAAGAAACCAAACTATTTTAAAGCTGTTTAGAAAGCATTTTTTGATCAATCCAAACAGAAACATTATGTCCATTAAATAGTAGTAGCATCCCATTCCATTCTGCCCTGCCCTGTGTAATCTGTCCTCTGCTTTATTTCTGTGCCCATTAACTTTCTTAGTGTAGGTACCTCAAATAACTAAATTATGCACCACTCATTGTTGTTTTGGTTTTGAACTTGAACTCAGAGCACTGGCTCTGCGTTGCTTTTGCTGTACCACTCGAGCCACAGCTCCACGTCTGGCTTTTTGGTAGTTTATTGGAGATTAGTCTCAGACTTTCCTGCCGGAGGTGGCTTTGAAGCTCCATTCTCAGACCTCAGCCTCCTGAGTAGCTAGGATTTACAGGCATGAGCCACCAGTACATGGTCCATTTATTGTTTTCCATCTGGCTTATTTCACTTAGCATGTTTTTGAAATTGATCAGCATTGTAACATGTGCCAGAATTTCCTTCCTTTTTAAAGTCTGAGTAATTTTTCACTGTATGTACATGTTACATCTTATTTATTCATTTCATTTATTGTGGGTACTTGGCTCCCTTCCACCTTTTTGCCTGTTGTGGACAATGCTCTCATGAGTACCCTACTTTCATTATTTTGAATGTATACCTGGAAATGGGCTTGCTGGATCATAAATTCTTAGTCTTCTGAAACCACAGCTGTGTCATTCCACATTCCCACCAACGGTGCCCAAGAACTCCAGCTTTCCTGCAGCCTAACATGCACTATTTTCCTTTCCCTTCCCTTCCTTTCCTTTCCCCTCCTTCCCTCCCTTCTTTTCCTCTCCTTCCCTCCCTACCTCCCTTCTTCCCTTCCTCCCTTCTTCCTCCCTCCCTCCCTCCCTTCCTTCCTTCCTTCCAAATACTAGTGGGCACACAGTATCTCACTGTGATCATGCAGAAATATCCATCTTGTGTGATTTTTCTCCCATTCTGTAGACCACTTCTTCATTGTATTGCTACATGTAAGTTTTTTGTTTTAAAGATAAAAGTTTTCCCCATGTTTTCTGAATTTTATAGTTTTAATTCGAAGAAGATTTGAATTGTGGCATTCTGAATTTCTTTCGTAACAGAATGCGTCAGATTCCTCATCATCTTATGCAGTACCCAGCACGAGCCATAAAGGTTCTCTTGGCAGGGTTTAAACCTCCTTTAAGGGACTCTGGGAAGACAAGAATACCGTATTGTCCCAAGTGGAGCATGGAGGCACTGTGGGCTATGATAGACTGTCTTCAAGGAAAACGACTTTATGCTTCCTCCATGGTAAATAACCGCCTTGGTCAAAATTCTCTAAAAGCCATTCCCTACAACACCTATAAACCTTGAAAAGAACTTTGTTTCTGGGCAACTCTACATGCAAAAAGCTTATAAAGTATTTAACGATGCATGTGCTACAGAAGTAAGTTTTAAGGATTATTCAGATATTTTTATATTTAGTAACTGTTATTAACTCTATAGTGATATGTCATGAATAAGATAAAAATGATCAGTCTGCTTACTCTGTAATCAAAGAATTTGTCAGTTACTGAGGGAAACATGCAAAATTATTAACTTACTACTATGAGACAGAAGAATCCCAAAATAGAGGCAGAGGTGGGGTATGCAGGAATGTTATTCCCGTATGAAAGATCTGGAAAAGGTGTTAATAGGCACACAGTAAATCAGTCAGAGAGGTGGCATCTGAACTGCATCATAGAAGATTGAGGTGAGAGATCAGGACGAGAATTAGGATTAGAGAATAGCCTGAGTTCTAATTTGGTTGGACCTGTATCAAAACTCCCCATGGCCTTCTACACAGACTTTTCCTCTAGGGCTTAGCAACTCACCAAGGATTAGCTCACAGCTCACATTCTAGCACATACCATGTGCCTTTTACAACCAGAATAGCTCCCTTCCAGTCTTTTTTTTGGCTTCTGACTAAATATAAAACCTAGAGTCTCCTTCCTGTTTGAGCACTCAGCTGGGGTGGTCACAGGAAGGTCACTCTTCAGGTACCCCTGCTCCTGGCGTTCATGTTGTCTCATTCTGCTTCCCTCCTTGTATTCCCTGACTGGCCCCATGGCTGACACGATGTTGGTTGCTACAAAGTGCTCCTTTCGAAAGCTCCGTGTGTACATGTCATTCATGCTAGTGCATGTGGCAGTCATGTTTATACTTCACACAAGGTTTCTCAAAAGGAGCCAGGGAAAACAGACATGGCAAGCCCTTATCATTCATTTATTCTAATCTAATCTCAGACCTGGCACCTGTTAGGAAAGTGCTGTACTACTGAGCTACACCCCTGATCCCTGAATCTTTCTGCTAGATGTTTATTATCTGTGTGAAGGTCTAATTTTAATTTATGAATACACATATAAAGCTTTAAAAATATTATAATGAACAAGGATGATGGCTCAAAAGCTCACTGGCTGGCTGCATGCAGGAGAACCTTGAGGTTTAACTACAGATCAGAGAACTTGGACATGACAAGAAACATCACAGATGCCTTTGGTGGAGGTACAGTGTGTGAATTAGAACTAAGCCTAGAAAATGCCTTTTCCCTCCTTTGTGAATGGCAAGAGTCAGCAAAGACACAATGTCTTTACATTGTCCCCTCATTCCTACATTCTGTGTAATATGTCTTTACATTATGTTTATATTCCTGACAACTGATATTTCCATTTTAGGCTCAAGCTCCAGAACCAACAGTGACATTATATGAAGATGAGCAGTACCCAGTTCATCTGGCATTAGTAGAAATGGGGCTCGCAGACACAGATGATGTGAGTATGTACTTGGACATCCAGTTAGCAAACCGTCCCCCTACAGTTACGTTAATCATGTTAAATTGGTCAGAAATGCATCTTGATTACTCAGAGGACACACAAAGCTCTACAAGAATTTGTCTACCAGGTTTCTTCTTTGGCCCCCTGACCTCTTGAGCATCAGTTTCCAAGACACCTCATTTCTTTAAGAATTCTGGGAATGGCTTTCCTAGTAGCAGATGGGTAATGGAGTAGGCAGAACAAGACAGTGGGCCCCATAAGTAATTCAGCCTCATAAACATGTGGTAGGCACACAGAATTTCTGAAGAGTCAGGATCATAGCAGCAGTGATCCAACTAGATGTGAAAACGACGCATGTGTTTAAAATGAGCACCTATTCTGTATTTCAGGCATACAGCGCAGAGCACATGTAGCAGCCCGGAAGAACATTTTCTGTTAGAGATCACTCACTCCAGGCTTAGTTTCATTTTTTTTCTGTAATAGTGTTTGTTTTTCCTTTCCCTTATTTCCTACATGTTGAACTGTTGAGAAAAACAATAGTTAATAAACACTTGCTTTCAGACATTCTCACGTTTTGTTTTAATTTCCAAAGGAAATAATTTTGTTAACCACAACCAAGGAGGCTCCAAGGAGTCTTGTCTCCAAAAAAGAGGAACATTCTACCTAGCTCTTGATTTCAAGTTTGGGCATTCACAAAAAAGAACAGAGTGGGTGCCAGTGGTTCACCCCTGCAATCCTACCTAATCAGGAAGCGGAAATCTGAGGATGGCAGTTCAAAGCCAGCCTGGACAGGAAAGTCCAGGAGATTCTTATCTCCAATTAACCACCACAAAGCCAGTAATGGAGCTGTGGCTCAAGGAATAGAGTGCTATCCTTGAAAAAAAAAAAAAAAGTTCAGGGATATTGCCCATGCCTGAGTTCAACCCCTAATACGGGGGGGAGTGGAGGAGATGTAGCACTAAGTTTTTAGGGGAGCAAAGTGAAGAAGGGAAAGCACACACAAAGCAGAGGAGACACTGGTGCGGGCTCACCCAGAAAGAGGCACATTTGAGTGGTCTACATCAGGGTATTTATGGCAGGTAAAACATTAGATATAGCCAGACTTTATTTTCCACAATATTGACACTGGTATAAAAAATCTCATTGGTTTTTGTTTTGTCTTTTGGTAGTATTAGAATTTGAATGCCCACCTCCTTGAGGAGCAGAAAACTCTACCACTTGAGCCACACCTTCAGTCCTTGTTTTTAGTGTTTTTTTTTTTTGTTGTTGTTGTTTTGGTCCTGGAGCTTGAACTCAGGGCTTGGACACTGTCCCTGAGCTTTACTGCTTAAGCTAGCACACTACCACTTCAAGCCTCAGCTCCACTTCACTTTCTGGCAATTAACTGGAGAAGTCTCACAGACTTTCCTGCCTGGGCTGGCTTCACACCACGATCCTCAGATCTTACCCCCCTGAGTAGGATTGTAGGCATGAACCACCAGCACCTGGCTATCGTAGTTATTTTAATATACAGCTCAGGTTTTGCCTGGGTACACTCCTGGATTCTTTTGTAGTTCTAACACATCTGAGATGACATATCTCACAAACTTTTCTGTCCAAGCTGTCCTGGAACTACAGTCTTCTCCATCTGTCCTCCTACATAGCTGGGATTAGCGGCACATGCTATGGTGTCCACAGCTGAGAAAAAACTGTTTGCCTAGGCTGGCCTCAAACCAACGTGCTCCTCATCTCAGTCTCCAAGTAGCTACAATTACAGGTGTGAGTCACATGCCTTGCTGGTATCATTTTGAAATACAAGCATTTGCTCATGTATTAAGCATTAATGAATAGTCTGTCACTTGCTTACTGCTTGTTCATATTCTTTGCCCATGTGTCTATTCAGTTGTTTTCAGTTTTATCAGTTTGTAGGAATTCTTCATAAACGGAATGGCAGTCCTTTGTCAGGCATGTGTGTCTTTCTCCTAATCTGTGGCTTTCCTTTTCCTTTTTTTGACAAAGTCATTTACCAAGCTTTTCCTATAAGTTTTGTGATTTGTGTCCTACTTTGAAGTCCTGGCCGGGTATAGTAGCTCATGCTATAATTCCAGATACTTTTAGATCAGAAAGATCATGGTTCAAAGGCTACCCCAATCCAAAAGTAATTATCAAGACTCCATCTTAATAATCTGGATTGTGGGGGAGGGAAGGGAGGTAGGGGAAAAACAAGGGAGGGGGTAACAATGGTCGATAGGAAATGTACTCATTACCTTGCTCATGTAACTGTAACCCCTCTGCACAGTATCTTTACAATAAAAATATATATTAAATAATCTGGATGTGATGGTACACACCTGTAATGCTAGCTACATGAGAAGTGGCAGAAAGAGAACAGGGTTCCATACAAAAAGTGAAAGCTTATGTAAAAAATAAGCCACGCACCCAGTACTTTTTGGTTTTAGGTTAAGTGTCTAAGAGTACCTACTTAGCAAGCACAAGGCCCCGAGTTCAAACACCAATACCACTCATCCCTCCGAAAAAAAAAGTCTTCTCTACTGAGGTATGTCCTTATTATCTAAGCTGTAAGATTGTTTTTCCATATTCAGTTCTTAAATCATCTAATACTGATAATTTTTTGTTTTTAACCTGAGTCACTGTTAACAGTACAATTTAAAGTAACTTACTCTTTCAATAAGAACAGCTTCTTTCTATCCCCTTCTGCCTCACTGAAGATAATGTCAAGGGAGCTGTCGTTTGTGAGTTAACATCTCACTTTCTTTCAAATGTCCCACTTAGACAAGTTATGTAGTTGTCCTTTATTACAACTGCTCTTTCCTAAAATCTACAGCCTGTAACACGGACTTATTTGTATCACTTTAATTTCCAATTCTATAATTAATGAATGTCTGTAGTACCTGAAACTTTTAGTTCTTGTACTAGTTGAATGTAGCAGTGTTTAGGCTAAAGACACTGCTTACCATATGAGTGCACTTTCTGTACAAGTCTACGTTCACAATGCTATGTCTGGGGGACACCTAAGTGACATACTTAAAACCATCCCCAATAAAAACAGTGCAAACCTGTACACTTTTAAAACAAAGCAATAAGGCTTCCTTAACTATAGAAACGCAAAGTAGGTCAATTAGAAATCAAACCTGTCCTTGTGCATGAGAAACTGGAAATTTTTATTTTAAAATCCAACATCTTTTCCATTAATACACACAAAAACACACATATACAGTCCATGTAAGTTAACAGAATTCACAAGAAATGTACATTTAGGAAAATCAGTGCTCTTCATGATTGGTCACACAGGGGTCATGACAATTCTGTGTCCACTAGAACATTACCATCTTTGTCCTTAACTCTTACTCGGCCAGATGTATACTTTGTCTCTTGATGACCATTTGTATATACAGTTTTAACAGTGCCATCTGGATACTCCCGTCTCTTGAACTGGGCAGTATGGAATTCTCTTTGTCCATTATTAAATTCTATGATTTTGTTGCCATCACTGTAAAATTTAAAATAATTTCTTTAAAAATATGAAATAGAGGGAAGGGGTGACATTGTCCAAAAAGAAATCTACTCTTACCTGACTTACTGTAACCTCTCTTCATCACCTTTATAATTAAATGTTTTAAATAGGAAATTTAAAATATGAAATATTAGCTGGGTGTGGTGGTGCATGTCTATGATGCCAGGACTTGGGAGGCTGAGGCAGAAAGACTGAGCTTAAAGCCAACCTGGGCAACAGTGAGATAGACCTTTTCTTAACCCCTACCCATCCATGAAAATAGGGCCCAGAGGTACAGGGCTTGCCAGCATGCAAGCAGGAAACCTGGTTGACTTCAGCACCAGAAAAACAAAACCTGTAACAAGACAACTATTCCAAACAAACCTGTTGATTCTGCAATTCTAGGCATATCCCCTGATCCTTTTCTCCCTACAATTCCACTTCTTTTTATAGTGTTGATGCTTCCGGTTCAAATGTTTGTGAAAATTTTGCTTTAAGAAATTGGTATTTTTACCACAAAACACTTTTCCAGTGTTTGCCTCTAAAAGAGGCTAATGATTACATTATTAAATTCTAGGTGCTTTTTTCTGCATTTTTGTTTGATCCTCCCTTTCACTAAGTTAAATACCATCTGAGTGTTTGCTCTACCACCAGGTGGAAAAGGGAAGGCATGATTAGACTCAAAATCGGTTTTGCATCAGGATCTGTGGCTTACACATGTAATCCTAACTACTTAGGAAGCTGAGAGCTGAGGACTGAAGTTCAAAGCCAATGGGGGCAGAAAAGTCCCCAAGGTACTCTCTCCAATTAACCAGAAAAGTGCCAGACTGGAAGTATGGTTTGAGTGATACAGTGCCAGTTGTGAGCAAGAGGGAAAAGGCCCTGAGTTCAAGCCCCAGGACCAGCTCACACACAGACACAAAATCTGTTTTGTTTGATGCCAGTCCTGAGGCTTTAAACTCAGGGCCTGGTACTGTCCCTGAGCTTCTATGTTCAAGGTTAGCACTGTACTACTTGAGCTCCAGGTCTACTTCCAGCTTTTGTGGCAGTTAATTGGAGACAAGAGTGTCATGGACTTTTCCTGCTTAGGCTGACTTCAAGCTGTGATCCTCATATCTAATCCTCTTAAATAGCCAAGATAATAGGCATGAGTCACCAGTGACTGGATGCTTGTTTGGTTTTGTGCTAGTACTGGGGCTTGAACTAAGCCTCACACTCTCACTTAGCTTTTTCACTCAAGGCTGGCACTCTACCACTTGAGTCAGACATTCTGGCTTTTTGCTGGTTAACTGAAGTTAAGAGTCTCCAAGACTTTTCTACCCAGGACAACTTCAAATTGTAATCCTCAAATCTCAGCCTTCTTGAGTAGCTAGGATTACAGGCATGAACCACCAGCTCCCAGCCACAAAATCCGTCCTGAAACAACCAAAAAGGCAGAATATGAAAAAGTTATTATCAAGTCAATTGCTGTTACCTGGACATGCCTGTGGAACATCTAAACACTAACTCGCAGGCATAGGTCCAAAGAAATACAAGCTGGGGCTAAAAACTGGGAATCCCTATTTCAGAACACCATAGAGCAGGATGAACACAATGGCACTGTGTCCCACACGAGACTCCAAAGTTAGGAGAACCAGCTGATGCCTCCCCTCAGGGCGTGGGTCTCAGCCCACTGCATCTGCGTAATCCAAGTGCTTAATGCATACTACAGTTTATCACTGCTGTAAGAACAAAACACTGGCCTTTGCCAGAAAATGAAAAAAGACTAGCTATAAGTTAATTTCCCCTGAAGCTGGATAGCTGGGGACATAAAGCCTTCCATATTTTCTGTTTATTTCACAAAATTTCAAATGTTAGGCTAACATTAAAACTTGCTATTAATGAAAAGAAAATGTTTTTTAGTTTTTCCTGTCATTTTAGAACAAACAGCTCT